GTACGCTGGACTGTCCTCTTCGTCGGCATCCTCGAACTCAGATGGTGGATGATGTTCGTCCTCGTCTTCCCTGGATATTCCATTCAATTTGATTAGGGCGAGTGACTTCGACACCTGAGCTGAGCCTTGCTACAAAAGGTTGTGCTTGCATGTTTGCTGTTGTGTCACATGATGAACTAGTAGTCTGCAGCCGTACACCGCTCAATTTGTCATCAAGGGTTTGAATTGTCATGCCGTGGCTGGAGTGGTGTCCGGATCCTCAACAGCTAGATGCCCAGTGGGTCAAGATCTTTCACCCGGGATCATGGACCCCACAGACCGAACATGATGCTCCGCCTCCGCCTCACACATACAGAGAGTGGAAGGAGTTCTCAGACCCAAATCCTGATCAAGAAGGTGCAGCCAAACAACAGCATTTGGTACAAAAGAGACTGGGCCACGGAGGGCTATCGGCGAGTAGCTGCGCCTCAAGCTGGTCACGACTTCGATTCGATGTCTTTTCCTGATCAGCATAGCATGGCCACGCAATCCTCGGCTTTGTGTATGTCACCGCACATGTTGAATGCGATTCTTAGATCATCGGATGCAGCGGCTTTCTCCACTGAGGATCTTACTCGACTTCAGGATGGGATCTCTCAACAACTGTCGGATCGCGCGCGTCATGCATCCCAACAACATCAACCAGTACGCGCATCTCGTGGAGGTGCAACACCAGAGTCTATTGGGATCTCTGATCCATACCTGCCTGCGTCCCAATCATGCAACTCCGCCGCCAAGGAGAAGCCTATCTTCGAGCTAAATGATGACTAGATGGATGCGTGTTGGACGTGGTACAAAAGGGTGCTTTTCATGCTTGTGCGTCTTTGCTTGATTGCTGTTTGTGCATGGTTGTACATGGGGACTGTTTCTTTGCTAGCTGGATCGGAACCCACGGTACGCCCTGTCTCTCACTTCAGCAGTGCCCATGGCTCGAATATTCGGTCTGGCAGGATCAGGAGTGGGTGCGGATCTATACTCCGGGACAACCTCAGCGGTGGCAACCAGGAGAAACCGTACCTGACCTACCAGACAACTCGTTTCGGGAGTGGAAGCGGGTAACTGATCCCATTGGTGGGACTGGTGAACACAGTCAGGCGTGGACCATTCGCGACTGGCAGCATCAAGGATACCAGCGCATTCTTTCTCGCTGGGAGTCCTTCTCCACACATCATGCCCGTGATCAATCACTTGTTGACGGGCAGAATTCGGACGCAATCCGAGTCGAGGAAATGTTCACCTATGCTCCCCCTATTTCTGACGGTGATCGCTCGACTGCTTTGCACTTCCCTACAGTCTTCTATGGCGACACCCGTAATGCTCATCGTGGTGACCTTTCGTTCCCGTCTTCTGAGCGGCTTAGGGCAGTTTCGCGTTCCCCTCGCCGTGGTGGATATTTTGGCAAACGATAGCGACACGAAGTTGAGCATGTGATCTTCCTGCTGAAAAGAAAAAGAGACTTCTCGCCCCTCATTGAGGGGCGTGTGTGTGCGGAGTGACAGAATACCCTGTCGCCAACATCAAGTTTTCACCTCTACAGCAGGGGGGCAGAGAGGACTTGCAAAGCTCTGCCCAACGAAGCTCTTTGCAAGCTCCTAGGATACGGAGTCTGATCAACTCCGCGTACCTGCGCAACTCGTGTGATTCAAAGTCCTTTTGGCCCGTTGTTTCTCTCGCTGTGTGTGCTTCATGTTGAACCTTGTAACGTTTTCGCTGCTAGACGGAAACCAAGTGACTGCAAGCCGAACCTACACCCAATCGAGACTCATCAGTTGTACTCGAGACTCATCAGTTGTACTCGAAAGATTAGCGCCCTCCATCTGGAGTTTAAGTGTGTGTGTGCGTGTGTGTGTGTGTGGGTGCGTGTGTGTTTGTGTGTGTGTGTGCGTGCGTGCGCGCGTGTGTGTCTGTGTGTGTGTGTGCGTGTGTGCGCGTCTGTGCGTTTGTTTGTGCGTGTGTCTGCGTGTGTCTGTGTGCGTGTGTCTGTGTGCGAAGGTCTGTGCGCGTGAGTCTGTGCGCGTGTGTCTGTGTGCGTGTGTCTGTGTGCGTGTGTCTGTGTGCGTGTGTCTGTGTGCGTGTGTCTGTGTGCGTGTGTCTGTGTGCGTGTGTTGGTGTGCATGTGTCCGTGTGCGCGTCTGTGTACGTGTCTGTGTGCGTGTGTCTGTGTGCGTGTGTCTGTGTGCGTGTGTCTGTGTGCGTGTGTCTGTGTGCGTGTGTCTGTGTGCGTGTGTCTGTGTGCGTGTGTCTGTGTGCGTGTGTCTGTGTCTGTGTGCGTGTGTGTGTGTGTGCGTGTGTCTGTGTGCGTGTGTCTGTGTGCGTGTGTCTGTGTGCGTGTGTCCGTGTGCGTGGGTCCGTGTGCGCGTCTGTGTGCGCGTCTGTGTGCGTGTCTTTGTGCGTGTCTGTGTGCGTGTCTGTGTGCGTGTCTGTGTGCGTCTGTGTGCGTGTCCGTGTGCGCCTGTGCGTGTCTGTGCGTGTCTGTGTGTGTCGGTGTGTGTCTGTGTGTGTCTGTGTGTGTGTCTGTATGTGTCTGTGTGTCTGTGTGTGTCTGTGCGTGTGTGTGTGTCCGTTTGTGTGTGTCTGTGTGTGTCTGTGTGTGTCTGTGTGTGTCTGTGTGCGCGCGTGCGCGTCTGTGCGTGCGCGCGTGCGCGTGTGCGCGCGTGCGCGTGCGCGTGCGCGTGTGCGTGCGGGGTTATGTGTGTGCGTGTGCATGTGCGTGTGGGGGTGTGCGTGTGGGTGTGGGTGTGGGTGTGCGTGTGCGTGTGCGTGTGCGTGCGCGTGCGCGTGCGCGTGTGTGTGTGTGTGTGTGTGTGTGTGTGTGTGTGTGTGTGTGTGTGTGTGTGCGTGTGCGTGTGCGTGTGCGTGCGCGCATGCGTGTGCGTGTGCGTGTGCGTGTGTGCGTCTGTGCGTTTGCGTGCGTGCGCGTGCGCGTGTGCGGGTGAGCGTGCTCGTGCGCGTGCGCCCGCGCGTGCGCGTGCGCGTGCTCGTGCGGGTGTGGGTGTGGGTGTGCGCGTGCGGGCGTGCGGGCGTGCGGGCGTGCGGGCGTGCGGGCGTGCGGGCGTGCGGGCGTGCGGGCGTGCGGGCGTGCGGGCGTGCGGGCGTTCGGGTGTCCGGATGTGTGCAGGTGTGTGCGGGTGTTTGCGGGTGTGTGCGGGTGTGTGCGTGTGTGTGTGGGTGTGTTCGGGTGTGCGCGGGTGTGCGTGGGTGTGCGCGGGCGCGCGCGGGCGTGCGCGGGGGCGTGCGCGGGGGCGTAGACACACGCAGACACACACAGACACACACACAGACACACACAGACACACACAGAGACATAAAGACACACACAGACACACACACACACACAGACACACACACAGACACACACACAGACAAACACAGACACAGACACAGACACACACACACAGACACACACACACAGACAGACACACACAGACACACACAGACACATGCACACAGACACACACAGACACACACACAGACACACACACACACACAGACACACACACACAGAGACACACAGAGACACACAGAGACACACAGAGACACACAGAGACACACAGAGACACACAGAGACACACACACACAGAGACACACAGAGACACACACAGAGACACATCGAGACACACAGAGACACAGAGACACACAGAGACACACACACAGACACACAGCGATACACACACACAGAGACACACAGAGACACAGAGACACACAGAGACACACAGAGACACACAGAGACACACAGAGACACACAGAGACACACAGAGACACACAGAGACACACAGAGAAACACAGAGACACACAGAGACACACAGAGACACACGGAGAGACACACAGAGACACAAAGAGACACACACACAGACACACACAGACACACAGACACGCACCCGCACGCATGCACACACACACAGACACAGAGTCGCACACTCAGACAGACAGACAGACAGACAGACAGAGACAGACAGAGACAGACAGAGACAGACAGACACAGACAGACAGACACAGACAGACAGACACAGACAGACAGACAGACAGACAGACAGACAGACAGAGAGAGAGAGAGAGAGAGAGAGACAGAGAGACAGACAGACAGACAGACAGACAGACAGACAGACATTAGCACACGCTCACAAACAAACAAACAATGAAACAGACAAACGACCGGACAATTGCAGACAATCAAACAGACCAAGAAACCAAAAAGCAAGCAAGTCAGCACGCACACAAGTAGGCATTCAGGCAAGCAGGCAAGCAAACAAGTAATCAAACTACAGAAAAACAGCACCGCCAAACCAATTATCACAGCACAGCACGCAGTTCACTAAACAAGCAGCACAAACAAGTAAATACAACAAACCAAACCAAACCAATCAACCAAACAAGCAAGCAAGCAAGCAAGCAAGCAAGCAAGCAAGATCAAGCAAGATCAAGCAAGATCAAGCAAGATCAAGCAAGATCAAGCAAGCAAGATCAAGCAAGATCAAGCAAGCAAGATCAAGCAAGATCAAGCAAGCAAGCAAGCAAGGAAGCAAGGAAGCAAGCAAGCAAGCAAGCAAGCAAGAAAGCTGGCAAACAGAACGAAGGAAACAATCAAGCAACTAGAGCAAAGGAAGCAATCAAGCAAACAAACGAAGAAGCAAACAAGCAAACAAACGAGCAAGCAAGCAAGCGAGCGAGCACGCAAGCAAGCATGCAAGCAAGCAGGCAAGCAGGCAATCAGGCAAGCAGCTCCGTCTTCCCATCATGACAGACATGAATGCGGCCATCCGTAGTTTTTCATTCCAAGGCCGGCATGTTTGGACGTCTATCTCGGCAGACTTGCTCAAAGATGCTGCTCGTGATTTGAGCGATCTGAACGCAGGCCTGGTTTGCAATCTTGTGAAGTCTTTAAGTGCGCGTTGGCGCAAACTGGCAGACAATGAATGGTGCTGTAGCCTGATCCCGTCCGTGCTATGCAATCGCATTCCAAGGAATCAACATCATGAATCTCAGTCAGCTCAAATCCTACGGCTCACCTGAGAAGGGAGCCTGCAAAAGAGCATTGGAAGAAGGTCTTGGCCGTGAACGAGATGGGGTGCTGTTTCTTACGTATTCCATGCTGATATCTTCCAAAGGCCATGGAGTGTTAGCTGTTTAACCTTCCTGCTTCAAGTGCCCTGCTCTCAAAGAAGGTGGCACCTCGCTGGATCCGCAGGCAGGTCCATGTGCTTGTTGGCATCTTGTGGTCCTGTTCAGTTACAGTCTGACGGCCAAATTTCTGTGGCAGGTGTCGCGCATGGGCCAAGTTTACGAGTGGCTGGGAGGATCCAATGCTGAGGGCCTTCTGTGCTTTGACGAGGCTTCGTCCTGTTCTGTCGCTTTGACATGCCAAGAAACTTGCAAGCCTCCAACAAGGATTGCCATAATCCCGTATCACGTGTTCTTGTCAGTCATTCCTCACGCCATGAACTTGGTGAGAGGGCCTCACCTGGTTAAAACCGCGTCAGGCACACAAAGCCAAGAACCTCGCGGAGCATGCAGGAACCTTAATGCGTCAATCATGCATCTCAGATAGAGCAGAAGGCATTCTCAAAATCCATTCACAGAGACCTGGAATGTGTTACATCAGTCCTGTGTACCAGGCCCACCCGATTTTGAATGAAGACTTTGGACAGCATTATGACTGAGCCTAGGGGGGCACATCCACGAAGACCGGGTCTTGCGTGCTTCAACTGCAGCGATCGTGCCCGAGGCTGGCGACTCGGTGGTTGAGCTTGCACTGAAACGGAAGTTGGGCATAGCAAACGCCAGGGCCAGGGTGCTCTACTCGACGGCGACAGCTGCGACGGAGGTGAAGCACATGGCCTACATGGACCGCCTCGGTTTGTGGGGACCGGGCTTGCCGCACAACCAGTGCGTTCCTTAGAGTCCGTTTGCCACGCCTGGCACGTCTCTCTCTGTATGTCACCACTGCAGGTTCCTGCAATTCAAGGGTGCTGTGGAGCGCGGTGGAATCAGTGGGATGGAGCTGGTCGCCATGAGCATGAAAGCTCAGGGCATGCTGTCCTGCAGGACTTTGTCGTACCAGGGTGTTGCCTTTGAAGTCACCTCGGTTAAGTTGGATGAGATCTCCTTGCGGCAATACGACGCAGCTGCAGCCTTCTGGCAGAAGATGTGGCATGCGTTTTGTGCCTACCTGGACCGCAGAGAGAAGGATCCAACATGGGGCAGCCAAGAAGAACCACAGGGGCGCAAGAAACGCTGCAGCAGGCGAGGCACTGTGCTGTGACTCTTTGCATTCTTTTGTAGTGCTTGCTCTAGTTATGGAGGATCGGCCTTAAGTTGGCAGTCTAGGCAGCCTGAATCCCTTTCTGAATCAAAGCTCAAGCGGCCAGACCTTCGACCTGAGGGCCTGAGCTAATCGAGCGGAGCACACATTCTGCATTCGTGTTCTTGTGTCCGCCGATTTTCCGGGTAGGTTGGGTTTGCAACTGGCACCGCAAAGCTGGATTGCGCGCAGCCTTTTGCCTCCACGGCCTAGACGCCAATTTCAATGGGAAAGGAAAGCGACATGGGTGGCCCTCAGGACAGAGGGCATATGCTAGGTTTGTGGTTCCTAAATCTTAGCCTAGCCTGGCGTGACGTAGCTTCACTTCACTTCGCTTGCCGTATTGGCTTGTATCTAAGGTATCACGCAAGGAGTGATCTGGTGTTATGGGCATTTGGAGACCTGGGGGGCGCGCTCTAGCCCTTACTCTTGAGAACTGCACCGTCCTGTTGGCACCTGAAGCAAGACTAGTGCACCGCTGGAAAAGGTGCTCAGTTTCCACATCACGTCACTCTTGGCCCTCGTCTTGATTTGGTGGGGTCCACAATGGCTCGCCAACATTTGCCATTTCAGACAGCCTCCTTGTGGAAACCTAGCTTTGCACCTAAACGCCAATGTGCGCGAAACACATCTTTTTGCCGGTAGCTCTGAAGAAACCATTGCCAAAATCGACAACGGAAGCAGCCAAGAAATTAGCCCAGCCTCTGTGCCCATCCATCAACCTTCAGCCGGCCTGGAGTCCTAGAGGCTGCCAACGCAAGGTTCCTGAAGGCGAAAGCAAGTCTCAGGCTTTGAATTGCCACTTCAAAACAAACGGACCACTCAACTGTCAACCTCCCTTCACTAGAAGCGCATACCAGGCTGTAGCAGTGATGCATGGCCAAAAAAACAAGTGAAATACTGTGTAGGTTCCAGCTGATGTTTTGTCGTCTTGTTTTTGTGGCAACCTGACAGGTGGCGAGCCTTGATGCTGGGCCTGTTTTGGAGCACGCAGCAGCGCTTCTTCAAGCAGCTGCAGGTGGCGGCCAAAGTTCCAACGGCCGTGGGTTTGGCCAAGACAGCCCTCAAGGATGGCAACGCTGTGGTTTTCTCCATGTGGTCCACTGCCGAAGCTCGCACTCGCGAACGGATGCTGAGCACGAGCAAAGCCGATGCAAGCAAGGAGGGTTCTGACAGCGATGAAGCGCTTGAGGATGTGAATGGGGAAGGCTTCCTGTCAGGTCCGCGGATGATGGTGGAACACTTTTTGGAGCGGCACATGACCTACCATCGGCCATCAGGCCGCGAGGTGCAGTGGGCAAAGGCGTTGGTGCAACCTTTGCAGCAAGAACTTGCCACTTTGGATCTGCCACCCAATCCGCTGGACACGCTCATTGATGAACTAGGAGGGCCCGCCAAGGTTGCTGAGATGACGGGCCGGTCCCACCGACAGGAGCGCGTGGGGAGGAACTTGGAATATGTCAAGCGCACGTGCAGCATGCCGAAAGGAGCCAGCGCCTCGGCCGTGGTGGATGCAGAACAAGTCAATTTGCAAGAGCAGTTGGCCTTTCAGACTGGACAGAAGCAGGTTGCTGTGATCACAGAAGCTGCTTCGGCGGGAATCTCCTTGCACTCAGACCGAAGGTACAAGCAGAACGGCTATGTTCCCAAGCCCCGGGTGATGATCACAGTTGAGTTGCCATGGGCCGGCGACAAAGCCAAGCAACAGTTTGGCCGCATCCATCGCTCAAACCAGTTGTTTCCACCAAGTTTTCAGCTGGTCATTACCGAGTTGGCTGGCGAAGTGCGATTCGTGTCGGCCGTGACCAGGCGCCTCATTTTGCTCGGCGCGATGACCAAAGGGGACCGGAGCTCCAGCGAAGCACTTGATGCCCTGGGAGACTTTGACGTGCACAACCGCCATGGTGCCTATGCTCTCGAGGCCTTGTGCGAGTGCTTGCGCTCCGGCAGCTTCCGTGGTTCCGAGGGCGACCTGCTGTGTTTGAAAGGGGCTGGACGGCAGTGGTCCTCCTGGGCAGCCTTTGCCAAAGATGCCTCCAACAAGCTGAAGGCCATTGACTTCAAGTTGGGTTTCGCGGAGCGGCGGCAGTCGGGCCAGAGTGCGCTTCAGGATCCGCGAGCCATCAGCCGATTCCTCAACCGACTCTTGATGCTGGAGGTTCACTTGCAGAAGGCTCTCTTCGAGGCCTTTTTCATGCTGTACCGCGCGGCGGCGGAAGCTGATCAGGTGAGCGGGGAGTATGCAGATGGAGCCGAGCAGCTTCACCTCCTGCACGGCCGACGTGTGCGCTCGTTGAAGGTCAAGAGCCAAGAGGTTGTGCACAAAGCGGCTGATACTGGAGCGGCAACCAACTATGTTCAGGTGCGCATCGACAGAGGAGTATCCTGGGAAGAAGCGCAAGAGGCAGCACGTAAGAGCGCCCGTGGGCATCCGCTGGAAGGATTCTACCTCTACAGCCCGCCCGGCAAGGCTGGGAAGGAAGCGGTCCTGGTGCTGGCACGCCCTGAAAGCGACCTCTTCGAGAATGCCCAAGGATCGAGCGGCAATTGTGGTTTGCTTGTTCTCCGACCACACCTGGGCCTGTCCAAACGGTTTGCAGGGAAACCAGTGAATGCTGCCAGTCTTCAACAGTTCAAGAAGTGCAGCACAGCTGCGTCAAAACATGAGGCGAAGATGGCCTGGCAGCAGCAATTCAATGCATCGCTGAACAACTGCATCCATGGCCAGCGGGGTGCAGAGTGCCCTGAGCCAGGCAAATGTTGCTTGGGCTCCCGCATTTCCGAGGAGCACATCCTCACAGGCAACATCTTGAGCACATGGCTTCAGGTGGCCTCATCATTGAATGCCCAGCGCCAGACAAATGATGAGGTTGAGCATTTGGTTCAGCGGCGCATGCCCATGGTCCGGGCGGTGACTGACGAGCACGAGGTGATTGTCGGAGTGGCGGTGCAGCCGGATGCCGTGGAGGAGGTGAAGTATGTGCTGCAGGCCTTGACCGCATCGGCAGCTTCAACAACTGCAATTCAGGAAGTTTCCAGCAAAGCTCAGGCTTCACCTTTGGCTGGCAACGGGCGTTCTATGGATCTCCGCAACATGATCGTGGCAGAACTGAAGTCTTTCCCTTCCAAGTCAGCACCGTGGCGCAACTGGTGCCAGGTGCACGATTATTTGCGCCATGCAGGGAAGGTGACTTTTGCGCCTGATGACCTCTTTGCAGTGCAGAACGCAGTGACAATGTTGCAGAACTTCGGCACAGTGCAGATCGACAAGGGCAAGATGAGCCTGCTGGAGAGAGAGGGTCAACCGGTGGTGCAGGCCAGTGTCATGCCGTTTCCAGGCCTGCAAGCAGCTTTGGCAAGTCCTGCAGTGCAGGTTCCTGACTTTCAAGCTATGATGGCAAAAGCTGTCGCCTCAGATTCAGCCACTATGAGGGAGAGTTTCCACCCAAGGAACTTTCAGAATACGCTTTGCCAGTGCAGGGCACTCGGTTGTGGGAGCTTCGTGAGCGCTGCGCCACCAGGTCTCCCCAGAAGGTGCTGACATGATGAAGAGATGGCAAGACGTGATGCAGCTAGCAAAAGACGGCAAGTTGGGCACTTAGTCTCTCTCCTAGCCTTTGACTGCTGAGTACCTGCTGCAAAAAGTTTTGCTCAGCTGGTGGCCATCAGTTTGGTGAAACCAAGTCATGGTTAGGTCCGAAGATGCGGGCAAGCTCGCCCGATCCATCGCTATGGGCGGAGCACGCACGCAGGCCCTTGGGCAAGAGAAGTTTGCACACCCAACGTAATCAAGACCAACAATCTGATTACCCAATCAACCAAAAGAAATAAATTTGAAGGGTTCTTAAAGGGCTCATAGTGACACCTATAAAGTATCATCGAATACACAACAACAAGACACACAGTGAGCAAGTGTCAGAACGCACGACACATGTGCAAGATATATTTACAGGGCTTACGCCCAGCATCAGCTGTGCTGGCAGGTGAGCTGGTGTGGCTTGAATGTATACAGGTTGGTGATTCACATAATGTGGCCGCAGAAGCCAGCGGATGATGCTGATGATGGACAGGTCACTGCACCAACCCCTGATAATGTTGGGCCAAGGCTTGTTCTTAACGGCATTTACAGTGTTTTGTGCAGTAACCCGATTCAGGCTAACGCATGGCCTGAATCGTGGCGATGCAGAGGACCACACTCCCAGGGATGCTGGTGACCGCCCTGCCGCCGACACCGCCGTTCCTGGCATCATTGGGGTTTGCAAAAAAAGTCACCGTTTTGGCATCCTTCCTCCAGAGGGTCCAAAAAGCTCTACCTTACGAAACACCCTATAGGTACTGTCAAAAATGGAAGACAATGCATCCGCAGCATCACGGGAGCATGGGGGCCTTGGTCCGGAGGTTTTGCATCATTTGGAATCGCCTTGCCAAAGTGGCTGAAGACGTGAGCCAACATGGATCACACCTTGCTGAAACCAAAAGGAAGAGGACTTTTTGGCGTTTTTCTTTGCAGGTTGCACGAGCTGGAGCTGCAAAACAAGTGACATGATTGCGCCCGGCAGAGGTTCGCTGTCTTGTTTAGCTTAAGTATTTGGAAACCCAAACTTTGCTACGAGCGGCAGCGAGCTCAGCCAGGAAAGCAACAAGCGACAGCCAAGCGCCCGATAGTTTCATGTAAAGTGGACTTTCTGCTGCCCGGAAAGGAGTAGTTGGCCTTGTGCAGAAACGGAGCACTATACGGAAACCTAAGCAGCAAGGGAACCGAGTTGGCCGGAACGGAGCACTTACCGCATGCGCAACAATGCTTCGTGCAACGGAGCATTCTCAACGGGCTTGACGGCCATCCCTCTTGGGTCTTTCCTTGAAGCATCTTACTGGGTGCGCCAATTCCAGACCTTTCCATGATAAAAGGCACCAGAGGCTTTGGTGTACTGGAGGCTTTTCTTATTGTGTTCTTTTTTTGCCATTTGGTGTGTTTTGGGTTGCTTGCTTGATTAGTGATTGTACACCCTTTTCTGCCGGATTAACAATTGGCTATTTGGGCTTGCTTTGCGGTTCGTGCTTGCAAGCTGGTGTGACTTGACGCGGGCGCCTAGTAGACACGGCAGACAAGACATCATGCTCATCAGGCAGCTTCAGCAAGTTCACCGCCGCAGAAACGGGCGAAGCTGGAATGAGCGGATGGCTTAGCTTCTATTGCACTTGAGATGTGCTGAGAATTTCAGCTCTGCGTTCAGCTTCCATGAACCCTGGCATGACTGCTCCAAAACATGGTAGCCTTTGACTGTGCGAGGTATAGTTGGAGGAGTAGGAACTGCGGCGGCTTAGTCAGAGGTTTTGCACACATCGCAACAGTTTTCTTATGGCATGCCCCAAGTGCCGTTTGGTGCAGCAGAGCCTTGATGAATGTCAGAGGCAGATTGCAGCACTTGCTTGTTGCCAAACTAGTTTGCACAGTGCAATGCAGGTTCTGTTGGGTATTTTTTCAGTCGAGGATAGATTCTTGGCATCATGCCAATACAATGCGCTGCGCCACTCCAGTTTGGCAGCTGTTGCAACTGGCATTTTAGCCGTAAGCCTTTTTGAAGGTCGGACAATTGTGGGAATCCTTCATTCAATCAAGATCTGAAGTTGCATAGTGAATGTTGCGGGTTGCATTCAATCAAACTCATTCCCAGCCTTGCATGATTGCAGAAGGTTCCTGCAACTTTGCTGGGCCAGATATGCCTGTCAACGATTGGCAGAGCGCCCAAGCAGCCATGCTTTGCGCAGTGCTGTACAGACGGACGTTGAGTATTCGGACACGATGAATATTGGGTTCAAATACGAGGCGCTCCTGGTCGGAGAAACAACTTCGGCCAATGAGACTGCGAGACAGCAAACAGATATGCCATTGCACCCTTAAATCCTGCCGTACAGCTGGTCTGCGAGATCCCTTTCGCTTGTATTTGGACAACAGGGTTGTTGTTATGAGCTGTTTTTTTTTGGAAACAATTGGATACCCTTGCCTGGTCGCTCGTGGTAGTCATTTTGACCTCCCCACTCGGCTTTTTGGAAGCATTTGACCCGATTCCGCAGCACGTGGCGCGCCTGGGTCCTGATGGGCAGCTGGCAGTCACTCCACCTGCATGGTTCGCCCTCCTTTGCCCTTCAGGTGTGCCTGGGCCTCTCTGGCAGCTGGTAGCCTGTCCTGGGGCGTGGCGTACTTGGGCCGATAGTTGCAGCTAGCAGCTCTCCCTTCCCCCGTCTTCCGTTCTCAGAGGTCCGTCATGGGACTGCTTGCGACCACGCCACCAGCGGTTCACCTGTTTGAGGCATGATTTGCCTTCTCCATGCAGCCTGCAGGCTGCTTGTCTTTCTGGCAGTTACTTTTCGCAGCTTGCAGACGTGACCTTGTCATGTAGCCTGCAGAGTTTGCCATTTTGCATTCACTGCAGCCACATCTAGCAGAAGTGTCTTTGCTACGTCGTCCACTTAGGCACTTTACATAGGGGAATTACTCTCACTACAGCTTCGGGGGGTGACTTGCCATGCTGTTGCAGAGGTTTTCCAGATAGTCTGCCAAGACTTGCATGGCGTCCAGGAGGTGCAAGTGTGGAGCAGCCTCCAGTGCATGCAACTAAATCTTGCAGATGTTGAATGCGTCAAGCAGCTTGCAAAGTCTGACGTTCGGCAAAACTTCCAAGCAACAGAGGCTTCCCAATCACCTGCAGAGCCTGCCTTTCAGCGATAGCTTCAACCGAGGCTTGCATGGAGTGGCCTTGTTCAAGCCTGACTTTCGATATTCACGAAAGCTAGCTTTAGCTAGCTGAAGTTTCTCCTTGCGTAAGCAAGGTAAGGGGCTCAAATGCCGAAAGATTGATTTTTTCAATTATTTGAGCCGAAAAGATTGAAAAACATCAATTATTTAGACCCCCCCCCCCCTCCCCCCCCCCCCCGGTCTCAGGCTCGATTCCTCCCTGGTCCATCCCCCCCCGGGCAGTGGCTCAGTGTTCAGCAGTCTCGGTTTGCCCGTTTTGGACTTGGTGCTACGAACTTTTACATGTTCCACCGATTCAGCTTGTTCATTTGAGACCTCAGTCTTCTCGGTAAACCACCTCGCAAGAATCTTTGCACACGCAGCATGCAGAACCCAGAGGTGCTTTCAGACAGCTTCTGACGCCTCTCGTTGTTTTCATTTTTCAAGGTTTGCCACGCCACCATGTGCGTTTGCGTGTCGCGTCCTACGAATCTTGCCGGGCCTCTCGTTTACACAAGCTACCTATGACTCCACTCTGTCACCGACCCATCTCATGCAACAACTGCTAGCTTTCGTTCACCCGCTCCTCAAGTTTCCCAAGCTTGTATGAGCCTTTGCTCCAAGGCACCGCCCGCTCAAGTTGGGCATGACTAGCACTAAAGCGTGGGTGGACAATTCTGCACATCCTGCAACACCAGACGCTCAGGTTCGTTTCATCAAGAGCTACGCGGATTGCAAAGCCGGGCATCTATTGAGTGTTTCAAACAAAGCTTGCCAAATGAACTTGTCCTCTGCCTTGCAGAGCAGAGGTGAGGCTAGTGCTGCATGCAGCTGCCTGATCCCATCGCTGCTGTGCCACACATTCATGCCGAACTCGCAAGGAGCGTGGTCAATCAAACCTTGACTTTGAGCAGTGTATCCAACATAAGTCTGCCGGGAGTGTATCAGCCCAGCGTGTATGCCAGGCAGCTTGCTGATCCGGCCTTCAAGCGATGTGTTCAAACCTTTCCAGGAATTTGCCAGAAGCCTACCACCCCTGACTTTTGGCATTGCGTTTCAGAACGGCTACATGAATTGGCCAGCCAGCTTTTGCTGTTCCTAACTTCAGGCAACGCTGTTATTTCAGGCTTGCTAGGAGTGCGTTCGCCGGCAGTTGCCTAATCACCCATCCCAACCCAAGCTTGCAAGCTCGCAGTGCTTGGCCTTTGGCCCTTTCTTCAACTGCAACTCGGGTGTGCCATGTTTCAACGAGCAACAAGAAGAGTCAGCGGGCATGGGCAGCAAGATGCTCAACAGCTTTGTGACAGCGCGGAAAAGAGTCAGTCAGCTGCAGATGGCTGCAGATTGTCACGTTAAAAGCAAGGTGACCTGGCAAGCTGTGATTGAAGAGCTATCCACACAAAAGATGTGCCGGCCATTTGGCAGGGCGGCTCCTTGCAAGCCATGGAATTTTGCAATTCCCCTCAAATACAGCTTGCCTGCCACATTGCCCGCAGAGCTTGTGTCGTGGCATTCAGTTCCATTGCAGCTTGTGGCCAGGTAGCCCATTGAGCTTCCAGGTTGGCCTTGCAGTCTTTCGGGAAGATGCTCAACCTGCATTTTGGTGCAGCCAGGAAACCTGTCTTGGCAGGCTACCTGGCACAGTTGGTCCAAAAAAGAGCTGTGAGGGAATTGACCACCCTGGGCACGCTGCAAGACCTGGCAAGTTAGATTTAAGCTCCGCGGCAACTGGGCAACTGGGAGATGGAAATTGCTGTTTGGGGTGAATGGACATGCTCCCCCCAAAAAACAAGTCACCCTAAAAGTAGTCCACAAAGGGGAGACAGGCAACTTTAAGGCAGCAGCCACGCAGCATGCTCGCATGACTGTATTGCTGGTATGGCTGTGAGAAACGTGTTCATGAACAAATCACAGAAATCAATACCACGGAAGCGCTGCGGCGAAATTGGCACAAGCCGCATGGACCGCCAAAAAGCAGAGCCTTCAACCTGGCCCTGGCATCCCTGGCCGCCATGGAGAAAACTGCCACATGAGCTTTGCGGGTCGGGTCGGCCTCCCGCAAGGCCAAAATCAAAGCCGGGTGCTTGTGGGGGAAATATAGAGCTCATCCCCCAAAAACCTAAACGAATCAGTCAGACTACCAGACGACCACTAATTTTGATCGTACCTCATTTGTCGAACTTATTCGCAACAGTTGGCTGGCGTAGCCTGCCAGTCTGGCTGCGACTTGCCTTTTGTTACAGGTTCAGCTTCCCTCTTCACCAACATCGCCTTGCTGAGCCGCAGAGATCGGCTTTGCGTTAGTCCTCCAAGTCGGCCAGAGTGAACTAAGCTGCTGAGTTTGGGGACCCTACCCAGTTCTTTACTTATTTCTGCTCGCTCCGCTGTGGCAATTTGCCCTGCTTGAGACCAGTTGTGTGACAACTAGTTCGTCATATCTTAGGGCAGGCTTTGTTGAGCGACTCTGCCGCGCAGATCAGCAAGATTGCTTTGCGGCACTTATTCCTGCAGAGTGTGCGCTTTGGCTCTTCCTGCTGCTGCTGCAACTCATACGCAGTGACGTTGCCAATTCTCTGCAGTTCTTTTGGCATGTACCCTCATGACAGCTTGCAGGAAGCAATTCTGCTTGAAAGCCTACGGTGCGCGCTTTGGCCTTCCCCAAAACTAGCCACTGGTCTACAGATTGCGTTGCTGTTCACACTTTCCGGAGCTTTCAAAGCGACGTGGCCAAGGCCCAGCAAGTCTCATGAGGTACTGCCCTTAGATTGCAGAAAGTGATTTGGTCATGTAACTGCTTCGACTGTCTTTGCTAGTTCGACAGGCTTTGGATTTCTTAGTATGCGCAGAAAAGATCAACGCTACTACTCCAACCTTGTGTTATACGCATCGGCCACCACTTTGGCAGTCATTGGCCAACATACAGCCTCATACCCCAATATAATGCTGAAATTCATTGCAAGTGGTCTTAACACTCGTTTGTGATACCGCTGCAATGAGCGAGCAAGCTGTGGACTTTTGCGTCTGACTCCGGTAGTGGCATGCATTTGTGAAGTCCTTTGCAAACAGTTTCCATTTGCTATCGCTTGTGCCTCGCAAGCAGCTGGTGTGGGTTGACTTTGGAAATTCGGTTTCTCCAAGGTTGCAAGTCTCCCCCGGCCAAATTCACGTGCAGTTTGGGAATTCCTGCTGTGAGCCCCACGGGACTAAGCCAGTGCAGGAGATTACGTTTTGCCCCCTTCAATACAGCATATTGCAGCCATGGAACTTGTCTGTCGAAGCCAATGCAGACTCACAAGACTCTGCCGGCTTGGCCGGGCACATAAGCACCGCTGTGCAATTTTCTGTGAGGGCTACATGCTCTCCTTTTTTAGATGTTCCTCCGCTGAGCGGCTTTGATTGGTCATCCTGGTGCTCCTGTCCCTGTCCCGATCGTTCTCGGTCACTCTCCGCTGAGCAGCTTTGATTGGCCACCTCTTGTTTGGCGCAGTCAATCACACACTGCAGCTGCAACTATTTCAGTCGTCACGATTTGAAGCAGTTGCGGCAGCATGTGCAGCAGCAGGCAAGCTTCAATCAGTAAGTGTCTGCACTTTGAGGATTTCTCCGCGGAATTCCCTCAACATTTTCAGCGGGCATCATTGTCTCGCAGCCTTCAGTGCCTGAATGCTCGCATATCATGAGCTGTGTCTACTAGCTGTGCTAGCCATGGCTTTGCTTGAATCTCCATTCGTCCTTGGCGACATTTTGATCCCTTGTCCGTTTTCCTTCGTGGCACTTGGAAAGCGCTTTGGCGTGCTCAGTGTCGTGCGTTTGGGTATCCGCGCCACAGGTTCGCGCGGTTGCAAGGGCAGGCTGACATGCCTTCGTTGTGCCAAAAGGAGAGCGTGCTGTGCATGGATGTTGCATGCTTATGTTATCAGCCCGTCTCGTTCTAAAGCGTGACGGAAGAAGGCTATTAGACCTTTTGCTTCAAACCAGGCGTCACTTGCCGACAACCATGGTTGTAACGGAGATGCAGAGCTGCGGCTTCTGTTCTTTTTGCGCTGCTCATTGCTTGCTGTTTGGAAGCTTGAATCTTTTGCGCAGCCATGGAAAAGGTTCTGATGTGCCCACGCCACGTGTGCATTCTGCAAATCACAGATCCGACACGGACAGGCAGCGCGCGTGGTGCTCCCGCGTCCAGGCCACTCAGCTCGATCCTTGTGACTTGCGCGGGCCTGGCGATGAGAGGGCGCCCTGCTGCGCGAGTGTCTCCAACTGCAAGGACAAGTCTGGAGTCTTCCCTGACTCTTTAGCACACTGCTTCGTTTGCATCGAACCGTGGGATCAACTACTTATTCAACCACATTCTACAACGCGGGTTGAGCCCCATCCTCAAGAATTAGATACTGAGACACAGGATCTTGCGGTCCGCTTCCATCCGACCAGTCCTTCCTCGAGTCCGGACAGCGCAGAAGGCCGGGGTGCTTGATTCCCACGCCCTTCATGGTGCCGCTCTTGACCGCGCCACAGGAAAGGGTTCCGCAAAAAGATGCGACGATTGCGGGGACGGAGCGCCTATATGCTGGTCTTCGAGAGTCAACCGTTGTATCAGGGCAGCCGCATCCAGACGTGTCTTGATCTGAGATTGACTCAACTAACATTCAAGCTGTTTTTCTGCTTGGTCAGGCTGCAGTTGCACATGTTGAGCTGATTGCAATCCACTTGCGAGTAAGCGCAACGTCCACGGCGTCACGAGCACCATATTTGCCGTGAACTGCACGGACCAATGAAAGGCTTTCCCAGGCTCCAGATTTTCGCGTCCTTGGCAACCCGTGGCCCTCTGCCCAGGTGCTTTGCGAGTCGCCAGTGATGCAGGGAGTTTCTTTGCCAGTACTGCCATCTGGTTTGCAGTTGGAGCTTCCTTCTCAGGCCTGGTTGACGGGATTGAAATCTTTTCATTGCTGCATCATTCCACGATTCCGATTCCTGTTGATGGGTTTGGCCCTGAGGTGGTTGATGAAGCTTGGCTGTCACACACTTAGCGGAGCAGCACAATTCAAGATTTAGGAGGTGCTGCCGGCTTTGTCGCCGCATGCGGGCTCCCGTGATGCTTTGTCAAGGTCAAGCCTGCAGCTTGAGTGCGTGACATATGCCGTGAAGCGCTTCGAGACCTTTCTTCCCAATGGTTGCAGAGCTGGGTACTGCTTGGGTGTCCGCCACCTAGCCAGCTGATAGTTTGGCTTGCCTGAAAGAAGCTTGAGCCGAGGATGGGACTGGCTGCGGCAAGGGGCGCGTCATTGCAGCTCTAATTTGGCACTTGTGGAATCGGGGCATTCGCCAGAGGCTTTGCATTGGAGTTCATGTCGACCATCTCAATGAATCTGGGTTGCATGAGGCCGCCACGTCTGGGTCTCCATCTCTGCGGACTTGCTGAAGGATGCAGCCAGAGATCTGGAAGACCTGGGTGCAGGCTAAAAGACTTGCGCCATTCATTTGCCATGCGTTGACGGATGATTGGTCGCTGCACTTGATGCGCAAGAGCAAGCGCTTCTCGCTGCTTTACATGGGACTTCACAACTCGGCCCTTTTGAGCACTGTTGCGGCCTTGTCTCCGCCCTGAGGCGTTGCAGTGGTCAATCTCGGGCAGCTAAAATCCTATGGGTCTCCAGAGAAGGGCTCTTGCAAGAAGGTGTTGGAGAAGCATCTTGGATGTGGCCGTGATGGTGTGATTTTCCTTACGTACTCTATGCTCATCTCTGCAAAAGGCGTGCTCAGAACAGACATGGTGACCAGCCTTGAGGGGTTTTGTGTTCAGCCGCAGGCGGCCACAGCTGGTCTTTGGATCCCGAGGCTTGGGATTTGTGCCATCCACTTGCACGGCTTGTCTCAATATGGTCTTGCCTTCATGCAATGGCTGTGATTGTGAGCTCTTTGAGCCGTCTTGTGAGGTGACACGAATGGGGCAGCTGTTCGAATGGTTTGGCAAGGGAAAAGGCGAGGGGCTGATCTGCTTTGACGAGGCGGATGTGTAGAGCTTGTGTCAGCTTGCGTGAAGGCTCAATGGCTCAACTGGCCAATTTCCACCCACTGACTTGCTGTGCGTGCTTTGCGACCTTTGCCTCATACAGGCGCACAAAGCCAAGAACTTGGCCGAGCATGACCTCACCTGAGCTGTTTGAACAGTTGGCAACACTTGTTCTCATTGTGGACGACAGTGCATTGGAATCCGTAGCACACTCCTTTTCCGAGGTATTCACCTGCACCAAGACTGGGCGCCGAGTCCTTCAACTACAGAGAGCCTGCAGCAGGCCAGGAGTGCCAGCAAGGGCAGCAAGGGCTACCTGCAACCTGGGTCATGTGCAGGGCCAGGGTGCTCTACTCGACGGCGACAGCTGCAACAGAGGTGAAGCACATGGCCTACATGGACCGACTCGGTTTGTGGGGACCAGGCTTGCCATACAGTCAGTCCCTCCCTCAGAGTGGGTTGAATGCGTGTCCGGCGAGTGCTAGAATCAGGTTTGCAGATTTCAAGAAGGCAGTGGAGAGGGGCGGCCTGAGTGGAATGGAGCTTGTCGCCATGAGCATGAAGGCGCAAGGTATGCTGTCCTGCAAGACCTTGTCCTTTCACAGTGTGGATTTCTCCGTCAGCAGGGTGAAGCTGCACAAGCAAGCAACGGAGCAATATGACGCGGCAGCTGCCTTCTGGCAGCGCCTTTGGCTGGCCTTCAGCACCTACTTGGATCGTCGAGAGGGCGATACGAGCTGGAACGGCGGCTGCCCGGCACCAGCACCCCAGCGGCGAAAACGCACCAGCAGGCGAGCGGGGCCGCCTTCTTTTTTTCCTTTTTCCGGTCGGTCGCAGACACTCCGCATCTAATCTAAGGGCTGCCGCCTGGTGCTGCTGACCCCTTTAGTCCAGTAAACTCTGTAGTGAGGGTTCTATGGAGAAGGTTCAGGGAGGAATCGAACCCCTGAAGGCTTCATCCTAATGCTGGCAAGATGCGTTCCAAACAGCTCGAATCCCATGCTGAGAGTGTTTATCGCAATGACTGAATTCCGCATAGAAAGGGCCAAACTGTGCCCAAAGCTGAAGCCCATGAGCCAAATATTGCCTGCAAGCAAGCCCCAAGCAGCACAAGAGGTGGACGTGCTTATCTTATTCCGCTGAAAGTAGAAAGTCACCGACGCAACTTTTGGTTTGGCTACGGAAGAACATTGTCTCCAAGGAGAGTAGTACGCCGACAAGCATGGCCAGTGCGCCGTATTGCTTAATCGTCAGGTGACCCAGGCGGCTACGGGGCTGTTTCTGCAATTGGGGTGCTGACGCCACGGTTGTCTTTGGGACTCAAAGTGGGTGCTCTCAGAGGCCACATACATCTTGGAAAACCCGCCGATGGGAGACGTGGGTCCTGCAGGGTGGCCGCCCCCACACTGCGCATGCATGCAAACCCGTTGCTTCGCCGGCCGTTGCTTTGTTGGCCGGCTTTGCGATATGAACAAGGATGGGCGCGCCAGAAAGGGGATGGTTAAAGGGACGGTGGAAGTCATGCGACACTCATGCCAGCCAGAGCCGCTGATTTCGCGTTTGATGCAAGGCGGCGCCGTGCCAGGCCTCGTGCGATTTCCTGGCATGACATGACGTTTGCTCCGCTTCATACTGCATCACAGCGGGTGAGTGTGGAAGCGAGAGCGCACAAGGGCATTGCCAAACGAAGAACTTGTCTTGAGCTCAACATGAGCACATTCCAAGCCGCTTGACTTCACTGCGCAAGCAGGCGGCAAATGCGGAAAAACACTAGTTAAAGCCACTTTTGCCCTTGAACGTAGCTAAACTTTTGCCGTAGACAATCAATACTGAAGCCTGCTTGCTAGGACCCACCAAGTGTCGAAGCTGTCCAGCTCATAATCCTCACACAGTTTGGGTTTGAGCCAAGGCTCAAATTTCAAATACGCCATGGTGGCATAGGCAAGATTTGTTAACGCAGCGCGTTGGGAAACCAACATCTGCTGCGCGAGAATACATCCAAGGCCCGCACTGATGCTGCACAAATCCAGCTTTTGAAGCCATTTCTACAGTTTGAGCTCTCCACAAATGAGCCCTTTCTGTGGAAAGTTTCCAATGGCCAAACCCAACAAGGAGGTGAGGAAATGCCTCCCGAGAGTTTCAAGCGTGGCTGCCGCTTGAATACCTTTTTGCGTTTGAGATACTTTGAGCTTGACATCTCTGTTCAGCGCAATTTCCCACAATTGCAAATCAGCTGGAGCAAAAGGCCACACCGTTTCCATTATTGGTTTTGGAATGGGAGCCGATTTGATGCCCACCAGCCCCTGTGTCCTTGCAAGGTGGCGGGCCCTGCTGCTGGGTCTGTTTTGGAGCACGCAGCAGCGCTTCTTCAAGCAGCTGCAGGTGGCGGCCAAAGTTCCAACGGCCGTGGGTTTGGCCAAGAAAGCCCTCAAGGATGGCAACGCCGTGGTTTTCTCCATGTGGTCCACTGCCGAAGCTCGCACCCGCGAACGGATGCTGAGCACGAGCAAAGCCGATGCAAGCAAGGAGGGTTCTGACAGCGATGATGCGCTTGATGTGGATGGGGAAGGCTTCCTGTCCGGCCCGCGGATGATGGTGGAGCACTTTTTGGAGCGGCACATGACCTACCATCGGCCATCAGGCAGCGAGGTCCGATGGGCAAAGGCGTTGGTGCAACCTTTGCAGAAAGAACTTGCCACTTTGGATTTGCCACCCAACCCGCTGGACACACTGATCGATGAACTAGGAGGGCCCACCAAGGTTGCTGAGATGACTGGCCGGTCCCACCGACAGGAGCGTGTGGGGAGGAACTTGGAATATGTCAAGCGCACGTGCAGCATGCCGAAAGGAGCCAGCGCCTCGGCCGTGGTGGATGCAGAACAAGTCAATTTGCAAGAGCAGTTGGCCTTTCAGACTGGACAGAAGCAGGTTGCTGTGATCACAGAAGCTGCTTCGGCGGGAATCTCCTTGCACTCAGACCGAAGGTACAAGCAGAACGGCTATGTTCCCAAGCCCCGGGTGATGATCACAGTTGAGTTGCCATGGGCCGGCGACAAAGCCAAGCAACAGTTTGGCCGCATCCATCGCTCAAACCAGTTGTTTCCACCAAGTTTTCAGCTGGTCATTACCGAGTTGGCTGGCGAAGTGCGATTCGTGTCGGCCGTGACCAGGCGCCTCATTTTGCTCGGCGCGATGACCAAAGGGGACCGGAGCTCCAGCGAAGCACTTGATGCCCTGGGGGACTTTGACGTGCACAACCGCCATGGTGCCTATGCTCTCGAGGCCTTGTGCGAGTGCTTGCGCTCCGGCAGCTTCCGTGGTTCCGAGGGCGACCTGCTGTGTTTGAAAGGGGCTGGACGGCAGTGGTCCTCCTGGGCAGCCTTTGCCAAAGATGCCTCCAACAAGCTGAAGGCCATTGACTTCAAGTTGGGTTTCGCGGAGCGGCGGCAGGCGGGCCAGAGTGCCCTTCAGGATCCGCGAGCCATCAGCCGATTCCTGAACCGACTCTTGATGCTGGAGGTTCACTTGCAGAAGGCTCTCTTCGAGGCCTTTTTCATGCTGTACCGCGCGGCGGCGGAAGCTGATCAGGTGAGCGGGGAGTATGCAGATGGAGCCGAGCAGCTTCACCTCCTGCACGGCCGACGTGTGCGCTCGTTGAAGGTCAAGAGCCAAGAGGTTGTGCACAAAGCGGCTGATACTGGAGCGGCAACCAACTATGTTCAGGTGCGCATCGACAGAGGAGTATCCTGGGAAGAAGCGCAAGAGGCAGCACGTAAGAGCGCCCGTGGGCATCCGCTGGAAGGATTCTACCTCTACAGCCCGCCCGGCAAGGCTGGGAAGGAAGCGGTCCTGGTGCTGGCACGCCCTGAAAGCGACCTCTTTGAGAATGCCCAAGGATCGAGCGGCAATTGTGGTTTGCTTGTTCTCCGACCACACCTGGGCCTGTCCAAACGGTTTGCAGGGAAACCAGTGAATGCTGCCAGTCTTCAACAGTTCAAGAAGTGCAGCACAGCTGCGTCAAAACATGAGGCGAAGATGGCCTGGCAGCGGCAATTCAATGCATCGCTGAACAACTGCATCCATGGCCAGCGGGGTGCAGAGTGCCCTGAGCCAGGCAAATGTTGCTTGGGCTCCCGCATTGCCGAGGAGCACATCCTCACAGGCAACATCTTGAGCACGTGGCTTCAGGTGGCCTCATCATTGAATGCCCAGCGCCAAACAAATGATGAGGTTGAGCATTTGGTTCAGCGGCGCATGCCCATGGTCCGGGCGGTGACTGACGAGCACGAGGTGATTGTCGGAGTGGCGGTGCAGTCGGATGCTGTGGAGGAGGTGAAGTATGTGCTGCAGGCCTTGAAGGCATTTCCGACGGCTTCCAAAGTACGCTCAAACAAAGCGGATGCTGATGACGACGAGCAACTAAGCCAAGCAGCCCACGACAAGAAAAACCTGATTGCTGATCAAAAGCGATGCCATAAATTTTGTCAGCAGATCCTCTCAGATCTCAGTTCTGCATCGTCACGTGCCTGGGGGACTTGGTGCCATGTGCATCATTTTTTGGTCAAATCCGGCAAAGCCAGTAATGCACCAGAGGACCTGCGCGCAGTTCAGCATGCAGTGGGCTGGCTGGAGCGGGCCGGTGCGATACAGGTTGATCGCAAGAGCCGCAAGACAACACTGACAGGACGCAAGGACCAAACCGCCATGCTGCAGCTTGCTTCATTGACCGGTCTCACGGCAAGTTTGCAAGGACAGCAGCCCCACACCAAATGCCTGGAGCGCTGCCATGTTGGGAGAGGTGTGTCTCCCAGAGTGGGCCAAGTGATTTTCTGATCACGTGGAAGAAAGTTGTGTTTCCGGACATCCCAGGAACCCGCTGATGGTGCGGACATGCTGAAGTCTTGGCACGCCGTACTGGACCTGGCCAGCGGGGGCACGTCCCAGGCTAAGCTGATGTTTCCGTTGATGTTGAAGCCTTGATGAGACCCCCGTTTGGTACTTGAGGTCCAAGGAAGCCGTTGGGCTGGCCCGCATCATTGCAAGGAACGCACAGCTTCCGCAGGCGCTGGGCTCCTGAAGCAGAGAAAACACTCTCAGTGCGAAAGTGATTGGTGCAGCACCTCTGATTCACGCCCTGCATGTCGCAAGAGTATTGTGCCCCTAGGCAAGGCTGCCGAATGACACCGCCAAAGAGAGGGCCAAAAAACGGCGAAAGGAAAAGCTTGCGAGGGCAAGGCCAGCGTTCTTCTTGGGCTCCACTCGCCTTTAGTTGCCTTGGCAGATCATCAGAGCCGCCTTTGAAGAAGCAAAAACAGGCTTGAGCGGACAGCTTAGCTACATGGGGATTCATTTCGGGAATGCGGTAATGAGAAATGAGTAGCTGCCTGCACGCTGAGTCATTGATCACGTTTATCCGAAGGAGCAGGGACCTGCCCTGCCAAGGCGACTATGCCCCACAGAGCAGCTCGGCTCTGAAGCAGAGGCCTCGAATGCCGCCTTTCTGATCAACACGCTGTATTCGCAGAACTCAAGCTGCTAAGCCTACACCCGTGGAGGCAACAGGAAATGCATGCAAGGCATGTTGGCCACAGGATTCAGCCACCTATTTGCGCCACAAGCGCAGAACACGTGTGTCATAGTCTCTCGAGGCCTTGCAGGACCTGTACAGCTGATTGCATGCTTTGTGACTATCAGGCAAGCATGAGTTTTGTGTGCTTTGCTTTGATGCAGTTGCGAAGCACAGCTAATTTGCCAATTCAATTGTATAGTTACTGGTTGTTGTTTTGAGCTGCGGCGCTTTGCGCATAGACTCGATGAATGTTGGGTCTGGCCACACTCGGAGCAACTTTCCAAGCTCAGCCACGCTCCTGACAGCCTGTCGAATGACGGGCCACGAGCGGCCAAGAGCAGCCAAGAGCACTTATCACATTAAAAAACCGGGTAGATGAAGGTTAGTAGAAAGTCCCAACCAGAAATGGGTGCAGCCGCCTTGTTAATTCTTTACATGGTTTTGGGTAGACCATTTAATCCCAGGTTTTGATTATGACGCACATTAAAGCTGTCGACAGCCTTGCAGGGCCTTGCTGAATGGCGAGGCGGCGAGTCGCCCGGCGGATGTCGCCAGGCGTGAAAAGCTTTTGCTTCTGACTTGAGGTGCGATCGGGCCCCTGAAGGTCGACTTTGCTGATGTTTGTTCATAGCACGGCGCACAAAGCATATGAGCGCATGCTTCTAACGTACGTTGGTTTTGGGGAGCTTGTCTTGCATCGATGTCCCAGAAATGCCGACTGTGTCACAAGCCGTTTGGTTTGTTTCAGCCGACCTGGGTTGCAGCATTGGGCCTCCTGCCCCATGGCTCTGGCATTCCGCAACACCTTGGCCCTGGTGATGCTCTGGCTTCTGCCTCCCCAGTCCGTGGCTGGGCCCGGGTACTTGGCTTGCTACTACGGCTGCTTGGGGGTGTGCTTCGCAGCTGGCGTGGCTGCGGCTGGGATTTGTCCTCCCGCAGGCCTGAGCGGCGCGGCTGCCTGCACAAGCGGCTGCGCGGCAGCGTGCACGCCAACGCTGCTTGCATGCTTTTCTGAGGACACCCGCGTCCAGGTCCTCAACGGCACAGGTGTGGCTGTGGTGCCCTTGAGCGCTGTAGCGCCGGGGCAAAGGCTTTGGAGCTTCTACCAGGGCAAGCCCTTGGCGGTGAAGGTTCTGGAGAATCAAAGGTTGCAAGGCAACTTCAGCTTCGTGGAGCTGGTGGTCGTGAGTGGTGATCAACGTTTCAGCCTGGCCATCACGGAGAGCCACAACATGCCCCGGCTGCGGCGCTCCGCCCCTGAGTTGCGGGAGGCACACTTGGAGGTGGCCACAGCGGAGGAGCTGCGGGTGGGCGACATCGTGGCCACCGGCGTCTCGCGCCTGGGCTTCGGCGTCATCTCGGAGCTGCGGCGCATGCAGAAGTCTGCGAAGCACGTGCTGACCACGGAGACCGCAAGCGTTGTGGCCAACAACATTCTGAGCAGCACCATTTGTGACGGCCGCGACGACATCTACAACCGCTCCAGCTGGCTTGTGACGCTGAACCAGTGGCAGGCGTTGCATGAGGAGCGCCTCAAGCAGATGTAGGTCAGTTCCGCTGTCGCCTTTTTGGCGCGTCGCTTGGCAGAGGGCCTCGCGCGTTTGTCATGTACAGTTTTGATGGAGTCTTGCTGAATGGTAGGGCTCCATCACGGACGTGAGGTCGCGCCTGATTTTGTTGTGCAAGCCACCAGCAAAGGAACGCCTGTTGAATGACGGGCCTTCTCTTTGTGTCGGAGGCGTTTTGGCTTCAATCTCCACCCCTCGACAGCGGGTGTTGGCGAAAGATGTCTAGAAGCGTGGCTGTTTAAAACGGCCGCTGTCAACTCTTCCGCAGTCTGGCGAGCTGTGCTCAGCAGCGGATGATTCAGGCCGGAATCTTGGGTGCTTGACGTTGCTTGGCATCTTCAGCACTTGCAGCCCCTTTGCCTCTTCACAGCGCGTGGCGGAGTGCCGCTCAGACAGCCAGGCCCCATGGCGCTGCGTGCGGTGCTGACTTTGGCCCTCCCGGCGGCGTTGGCCGGCCCTCTCTACCCGGCATGCTACACCACTTGCATGGCGACCTGTCTGTCGGCCGGGGCAGCAGCTGCTGGCGTTGTGCCGCCCGCAGGTTTGGCAGGCGCTGCCGCCTGCGCGTCGGGCTGCGCAGCCCTTTGTGCTCCTTCCTGCTTCGCCGACGACACCACACTGCAGCTGGCCGAGTTGCCCCGAGGCAGTTCGGCTGTGAAGATCGGAGAAGTGCAGACCGGGAAGAGGGTGTGGACTCTGCAGAACGGCCAGCCCATGCCAGCTCCAGTGGTGGAGAACCGTCGGCTGGAAGGCCACTTGGCAATGATGATGGCTTTGTGATGGCTGTTTTGTCTCTTCACCACCGATTGTTTGGTCTCAGGGTTGCAGGTGTTGCTGCGCTACCCCCCACGATTCTGAATGTTGCTTTGCCGAGGCAGCTTTGGCTTTGTGGAACTGGCGGTCGTCAGTGAGAGCATGGAAGTGAACATCACGATCACCGAGGATCACAACATCTGCACGGCACTGCGGGCCGACGCTGCTTGCGTGCTTCTCTGAGGACACCCGCGTCCAGGTCCTCAACGGCACAGGCGTGGCTGTGGTGCCCTTGAGCGCTGTAGTGCCGGGGCAAAGGCTTTGGAGCTTCTACCAGGGCAAGCCCTTGGCGGTGAAGGTTCTGGAGAATCAAAGGTTGCAAGGCAACTTCAGCTTCGTGGAGCTGGTGGTCGTGTGTGGTGATCAACGTTTCAGCCTGGCCATCACGGAGAGCCACAACATGCCCCGGCTGCGGCGCTCCGCCCCTGAGTTGCGGGAGGCACACTTGGAGGTGGCCACAGCGGAGGAGCTGCGGGTGGGCGACATCGTGGCCACCGGCGTCTCGCGCCTGGGCTTCGGCGTCATCTCGGAGCTGCGGCGCATGCAAAGTCTGTGAAGCACGTGCTGACCACGGAGACCGGAAGCGTTGTGGCCAACAACATTCTGAGCAGCACCATTTGTGACGGTCGCGACGACATCTACAACCGCTCCAGCTGGCTTGTGACGCTGAACCAGTGGCAGCCGTTGCATGAGGAGCGCCTCAAGCAGATGTAGGTCAGTTCCGCTGTCGCCTTTTTGGCGCGTCGCTTGGCAGAGGGCCTCGCGCGTTTGTCATGTACAGTTTTGATGGGAGTCTTGCTGAATGGCAGGGCTCCATCACGGACGTGAGGTTGCGCCTGATTTTGTTGTGCAAGCCACCAGCAAAGGAACGCCTGTTGAATGACGGGCCTTCTCTTTGTGTCGGAGGCGTTTTGGCTTCAATCTCCACCCCTCGACAGCGGGTGTTGGCGAAAGATGTCTAGAAGCGTGGCTGTTTAAAGCGGCGGCTGTCAACTCTTCCGCAGTCTGGCGAGCTGTGCTCAGCAGCGGATGATTCAGGCCGGAATCTTGGGTGCTTGACGTTGCTTGGCATCTTCAGCACTTGCAGCCCCTTTGCCTCTTCACAGCGCGTGGCGGAGTGCCGCTCAGACAGCCAGGCCCCATGGCGCTGCGTGCGGTGCTGACTTTGGCCCTCCCGGCGGCGTTGGCCGGCCCTCTCTACCCGGCATGCTACACCACTTGCATGGCGACCTGTCTGTCGGCCGGGGCAGCAGCTGCTGGCGTTGTGCCGCCCGCAGGTTTGGCAGGCGCTGCCGCCTGCGCGTCGGGCTGCGCAGCCCTTTGTGCTCCTTCCTGCTTCGCCGACGACACCACACTGCAGCTGGCCGAGTTGCCCCGAGGCAGTTCGGCTGTGAAGATCGGAGAAGTGCAGACCGGGAAGAGGGTGTGGACTCTGCAGAACGGCCAGCCCATGCCAGCTCTAGTGGTGGAGAACCGTCGGCTGGAAGGCCACTTGGCAATGATGATGGCTTTGTGATGGCTGTTTTGTCTCTTCACCACCGATTGTTTGGTCTCAGGGTTGCAGGTGTTGCTGCGCTACCCCCCACGATTCTGAATGTTGCTTTGCCGAGGCAGCTTTGGCTTTGTGGAACTGGCGGTCGTCAGTGAGGGCATGGAAGTGAACATCACGATCACCGAGGATCACAACATGCCCCGGCTGAGGCGCCCGCATCCCTCCGCCAGCTTCTCTGAAGAAGACTTGGAAGTTGTGCTTGCCAAGGAGTTGATGTTGGGAGACATGATGGCCATCCACACGCCAGGCGGAGTGAGCCTGGGCGTCCTTGCTGGACTACGCTTGGTGCAGAAGGGCGTCAAGCACGTCCTGTCCACTGCCACTGGCAGCGTGTTGGCCAACGGCGTGCTGAGCAGCACGATTTGCGACGGCCGTGAGAAGGTCTACAATCGCTCCAGCTGGTCCATGACGCTTCAGCAATGGTGGGCAATGCATGCCGAGCGCTTCGCGCTTTGAGTTTTGTCGCTGCGCGCGACTTTTGTGTACAGACCACCTGCGCTCCTTCCTGAGCTGTGCTGTGCTCTACTTAGCCACAGCGCTTTGTGCATAGACTCGATGAATGTTGGGTCTGGCCACACTCGGAGCAACTTTCCAAGCTCAGCCACGCTCCTGACAGCCTGTTGAATGACGGGCCACGAGCGGCCAAGAGCAGCCAAGAGCACTTATGAGTCACATTCAAAACCGGGTAGATGAAGGTTAGTAGATAATCCCAACCATACATGGGTGCAGCCGTCTTGTTAATTCTTTACATGGTTTTGGGTAGACCATTTAATCCCAGGTTTTGATTATGCCCCACTTGGGGGATTAAAGCTGTCGACAGCCTTGCAGGGCCTTGCTGAATGGCGAGGGGGCGAGTCGCACGGCGGATGTCGCAAGGCGTGAAAAGCTTTTGCTTCTGACTCGAGGTGCGATCGTGCCCCTGAAGGTCGACTTTGCTGATGTTTGTTCATTAGCACGGCGCACAAAGCATATGAGCGCATGCTTCTAGCGTACGTTGGTTTTGGTGAGCTTGTTTTGCCTCAATGTCCCAAAAATGCCGACTGTGTCACAAGCCGTTTGGTTTGTTTCAGCCGACCTGGGTTGCAGCATTGGGCCTCCTGCGCCATGGCTCTGGCATTCCGCAACACCTTGGCCCTGGTGATGCTCTGGCTTCTGCCTCCCCAGTCCGTGGCTGGGCCCGGGTACTTGGCTTGCTACTACGGCTGCTTGGGAGTTTGCTTCACAGCTGGCGTGGCTGCGGCTGGGATTTGTCCTCCCGCAGGCCTGAGCGGCGCGGCTGCCTGCACAAGCGGCTGCGCGGCAGCGTGCGCGCCGACGCTGCTGGCGTGCTTCTCTGAGGACACCCGCGTCCAGGTCCTCAACGGCACAGGCGTGGCTGTGGTGCCCTTGAGCGCTGTAGCGCCGGGGCAAAGGCTTTGGAGCTTCTACCAGGGCAAGCCCTTGGCGGTGAAGGTTCTGGAGAATCAAAGGTTGCAAGGCAACTTCAGCTTCGTGGAGCTGGTGGTCGTGAGTGGTGATCAACGTTTTCAGCCTGGCCATCACGGAGAGCCACAACATGCCCCGGGCTGCGGCGCTCCGCCCCTGAGTTGCGGGAGGCACACTTGGAGGTGGCCACAGCGGAGGAGCTGCGGGTGGGCGACATCGTGGCCACCGGCGTCTCGCGCCTGGGCTTCGGCGTCATCTCGGAGCTGCGGCGCATGCAGAAGTCTGTGAAGCACGTGCTGACCACGGAGACCGGAAGCGTTGTGGCCAACAACATTCTGAGCAGCACCATTTGTGACGGCCGCGACGACATCTACAACCGCTCCAGCTGGCTTGTGACGCTGAACCAGTGGCAGGCGTTGCATGAGGAGCGCCTCAAGCAGATGTAGGTCAGTTCCGCTGTCGCCTTTTTGGCGCGTCGCTTGGCAGAGGGCCTCGCGCGTTTGTCATGTACAGTTTTGATGGGAGTCTTGCTGAATGGCAGGGCTCCATCACGGACGTGAGGTCGCGCCTGATTTTGTTGTGCAAGCCACCAGCAAAGGAACGCCTGTTGAATGACGGGCCTTCTCTTTGTGTTGGAGGCGTTTTGGCTTCAATCTCCACCCCTCGACAGCGGGTGTTGGCGAAAGATGTCTAGAAGCGTGGCTGTTTAAAACGGCGGCTGTCAACTCTTCCGCAGTCTGGCGAGCTGTGCTCAGCAGCGGATGATTCAGGCCGGAATCTTGGGTGCTTGACGTTGCTTTGCATCTTCAGCACTTGCAGCCCCTTTGCCTCTTCACAGCGCGTGGCGGAGTGCCGCTCAGACAGCCAGGCCCCATGGCGCTGCGTGCGGTGCTGACTTTGGCCCTCCCGGCGGCGTTGGCCGGCCCTCTCTACCCGGCATGCTACACCGCTTGCATGGCGACCTGTCTGTCGGGGGTAGCAGCTGCTGTCGTTGTGCCGCCTGCAGGTTTGGCAGGCGCTGCCGGCTGTGCGTCGGTCTGCGCAACCCTTTGTGCTCCTTCCTGCTTCGCCGACGACACTACACTGCAGCTGGCCGAGTTGCCCCGAGGCAGTTCGGCTGTGAAGATCGGAGAAGTGCAGACCGGGAAGAGGGTGTGGACTCTGCAGAACGGCCAGCCCATGCCAGCTCTAGTGGTGGAGAACCGTCGGCTGGAAGGCCACTTGGCAATGATGATGGCTTGTGATGGCTTGTAATGGCTTGTGATGGCTTGTGATGGCTGTTTTGTCTCTTCACCACCGATTGTTTGGTCTCAGGGTTGCAGGTGTTGCTGCGTTACCCTCCACGATTCTGAATGTTGCTTTGCCAAGGCAGCTTTGGCTTTGTGGAACTGGCGGTCGTCAGTGAGGGCATGGAAGTGAACATCACGATCACCGAGGATCACAACATGCCCCGGCTGAGGCGCCCGCATCCCTCCGCCAGCTTCTCTGAAGAAGACTTGGAAGTTGTGCTTGCCAAGGAGTTGATGTTGGGAGACATGATGGCCATCCACACGCCAGGCGGAGTGAGCCTGGGCGTCCTTGCTGGACTACGCTTGGTGCAGAAGGGCGTCAAGCACGTCCTGTCCACTGCCACTGGCAGCGTGTTGGCCAACGGCGTGCTGAGCAGCACGATTTGCGACGGCCATGAGAAGGTCTACAATCGCTCCAGCTGGTCCATGACGCTTCAGCAATGGTGGGCAATGCATGCCGAGCGCTTCGCGCTTTGAGTTTTGTCGCTGCGCGCGATCTTTTGTGTACAGACCACCTGCGCTCCTTCCTGAGCTGTGCTGCGCTCTACTTAGCCACGGCGCTTTGTGCATAGACTCGATAAATGTTGGGTCTGGCCACACTCGGAGCAACTTTCCAAGCTCAGCCACGCTCCTGACAGCCTGTTGAATGACGGGCCACGAGCGGCCAAGAGCAGCCAAGAGCACTTATGAGTCACATTCAAAACCGGGTAGATGAAGGCTAGTAGATACCATAAATGTGTGCAGCCGCCTTGTTAATTCTTTACATGGTTCTGGGTAGACTATTTAATACCAGGTTTTGATTATGCCCCACTTGGGGGATTAAAGCTGTCGACAGCCTTGCAGGGCCTTGCTGAATGGCGAGGGGGCGAGTCGCACGGCGCATGTCGCAAGGCGTGAAAAGCTTTTGCTTCTGACTCGAGGTGCGATCGTGCCCCTGAAGGTCGACTTTGCTCATGTTTGTTCATAGCACGGCGCACAAAGCATATGAACACATGCTTCTAACGTACGTTGGTTTTGGTGAGCTTGTCTTGCATCGATGTCCCAGAAATGCCGACTGTGTCACAAGCCGTTTGGTTTGTTTCAGCCGACCTGGGTTGCAGCATTGGGCCTCCTGCGCCATGGCTCTGGCATTCCGCAACACCTTGGCCCTGGTGATGCTCTGGCTTCTGCCTCCCCAGTCCGTGGCTGGGCCCGGGTACTTGGCTTGCTACTACGGCTGCTTGGGAGTTTGCTTCACAGCTGGCGTGGCTGCGGCTGGGATTTGTCCTCCCGCAGGCCTGAGCGGCGCGGCTGCCTGCACAAGCGGCTGCGCGGCAGCGTGCACGCCAACGCTGCTTGCGTGCTTTTCTGAGGACACCCGCGTCCAGGTCCTCAACGGCACAGGTGTGGCTGTGGTGCCCTTGAGCGCTGTAGCGCCGGGGCAAAGGCTTTGGAGCTTCTACCAGAGCAAGCCCTTGGCGGTGAAGGTTCTGGAGAATCAAAGGTTGCAAGGCAACTTCAGCTTCGTGGAGCTGGTGGTCGTGAGTGGTGATCAACGCTTCAGCCTGGCCATCACGGAGAGCCACAACATGCCCCGGCTGCGGCGCTCCGCCCCTGAGTTGCGGGAGGCACACTTGGAGGTGGCCACAGCGGAGGAGCTGCGGGTGGGCGACATCGTGGCCACCGGCGTCTCACGCCTGGGCTTCGGCGTCGTCTCGGAGCTGCGGCGCATGCAGAAGTCTGTGAAGCACGTGCTGACCACGGAGACCGGAAGCGTTGTGGCCAACAACATTCTGAGCAGTACCATTTGTGACGGCCGCGACGACATCTACAACCGCTCCAGCTGGCTTGTGACGCTGAACCAGTGGCAGGCGTTGCATGAGGAGCGCCTCAAGCAGATGTAGGTCAGTTCCGCTGTCGCCTTTTTGGCGCGTCGCTTGGCAGAGGGCCTCGCGCGTTTGTCATGTACAGTTTTGATGGGAGTCTTGCTGAATGGCAGGGCTCCATCACGGACGTGAGGTCGCGCCTGATTTTGTTGTGCAAGCCACCAGCAAAGGAACGCCTGTTGAATGACGGGCCTTCTCTTTGTGTTGGAGGCGTTTTGGCTTCAATCTCCACCCCTCGACAGCGGGTGTTGGCGAAAGATGTCTAGAAGCGTGGCTGTTTAAAACGGCGGCCTGTCAACTCTTCCGCAGTCTGGCGAGCTGTGCTCAGCAGCGGATGATTCAGGCCGGAATCTTGGGTGCTTGACGTTGCTTGGCATCTTCAGCACTTGCAGCCCCTTTGCCTCTTCACAGCGCGTGCCGGAGTGCCGCTCAGACAGCCAGGCCCCATGGCGCTGCGTGCGGTGCTGACTTTGGCCCTCCCGGCGGCGTTGGCCGGCCCTCTCTACCCGGCATGCTACACCGCTTGCATGGCGACCTGTCTGTCGGGGGTATCAGCTGCTGTCGTTGTGCCGCCCGCAGGTTTGGCAGGCGCTGCCGGCTGCGCGTCGGTCTGCGCAACCCTTTGTGCTCCTTCCTGCTTCGCCGACGACACTACACTGCAGCTGGCCGAGTTGCCCCGAGGCAGTTCGGCTGTGAAGATCGGAGAAGTGCAGACCGGGAAGAGGGTGTGGACTCTGCAGAACGGCCAGCCCATGCCAGCTCTAGTGGTGGAGAACCGTCGGCTGGAAGGCCACTTGGCAATGATGATGGCTTGTGATGGCTTGTAATGGCTTGTGATGGCTTGTGATGGCTGTTTTGTCTCTTCACCACCGATTGTTTGGTCTCAGGGTTGCAGGTGTTGCTGCGTTACCCTCCACGATTCTGAATGTTGCTTTGCCAAGGCAGCTTTGGCTTTGTGGAACTGGCGGTCGTCAGTGAGGGCATGGAAGTGAACATCACGATCACCGAGGATCACAACATGCCCCGGCTGAGGCGCCCGCATCCCTCCGCCAGCTTCTCTGAAGAAGACTTGGAAGTTGTGCTTGCCAAGGAGTTGATGTTGGGAGACATGATGGCCATCCACACGCCAGGCGGAGTGAGCCTGGGCGTCCTTGCTGGACTACGCTTGGTGCAGAAGGGCGTCAAGCACGTCCTGTCCACTGCCACTGGCAGCGTGTTGGCCAACGGCGTGCTGAGCAGCACGATTTGCGACGGCCATGAGAAGGTCTACAATCGCTCCAGCTGGTCCATGACGCTTCAGCAATGGTGGGCAATGCATGCCGAGCGCTTCGCGCTTTGAGTTTTGTCGCTGCGCGCGATCTTTTGTGTACAGACCACCTGCGCTCCTTCCTGAGCTGTGCTGCGCTCTACTTAGCCACGGCGCTTTGTGCATAGACTCGATAAATGTTGGGTCTGGCCACACTCGGAGCAACTTTCCAAGCTCAGCCACGCTCCTGACAGCCTGTTGAATGACGGGCCACGAGCGGCCAAGAGCAGCCAAGAGCACTTATCACATTAAAAAACCGGGTAGATGAAGGTTAGTAGAAAGTCCCAACCAGAAATGGGTGCAGCCGCCTTGTTAATTCTTTACATGGTTTTGGGTAGACCATTTAATCCCAGGTTTTGATTATGACGCACATTAAAGCTGTCGACAGCCTTGCAGGGCCTTGCTGAATGGCGAGGCGGCGAGTCGCCCGGCGGATGTCGCCAGGCGTGAAAAGCTTTTGCTTCTGACTTGAGGTGCGATCGGGCCCCTGAAGGTCGACTTTGCTGATGTTTGTTCATAGCACGGCGCACAAAGCATATGAGCGCATGCTTCTAACGTACGTTGGTTTTGGGGAGCTTGTCTTGCATCGATGTCCCAGAAATGCCGACTGTGTCACAAGCCGTTTGGTTTGTTTCAGCCGACCTGGGTTGCAGCATTGGGCCTCCTGCCCCATGGCTCTGGCATTCCGCAACACCTTGGCCCTGGTGATGCTCTGGCTTCTGCCTCCCCAGTCCGTGGCTGGGCCCGGGTACTTGGCTTGCTACTACGGCTGCTTGGGGGTGTGCTTCGCAGCTGGCGTGGCTGCGGCTGGGATTTGTCCTCCCGCAGGCCTGAGCGGCGCGGCTGCCTGCACAAGCGGCTGCGCGGCAGCGTGCACGCCAACGCTGCTTGCATGCTTTTCTGAGGACACCCGCGTCCAGGTCCTCAACGGCACAGGTGTGGCTGTGGTGCCCTTGAGCGCTGTAGCGCCGGGGCAAAGGCTTTGGAGCTTCTACCAGGGCAAGCCCTTGGCGGTGAAGGTTCTGGAGAATCAAAGGTTGCAAGGCAACTTCAGCTTCGTGGAGCTGGTGGTCGTGAGTGGTGATCAACGTTTCAGCCTGGCCATCACGGAGAGCCACAACATGCCCCGGCTGCGGCGCTCCGCCCCTGAGTTGCGGGAGGCACACTTGGAGGTGGCCACAGCGGAGGAGCTGCGGGTGGGCGACATCGTGGCCACCGGCGTCTCACGCCTGGGCTTCGGCGTCGTCTCGGAGCTGCGGCGCATGCAGAAGTCTGTGAAGCACGTGCTGACCACGGAGACCGGAAGCGTTGTGGCCAACAACATTCTGAGCAGCACCATTTGTGACGGCCGCGACGACATCTACAACCGCTCCAGCTGGCTTGTGACGCTGAACCAGTGGCAGGCGTTGCATGAGGAGCGCCTCAAGCAGATGTAGGTCAGTTCCGCTGTCGCCTTTTTGGCGCGTCGCTTGGCAGAGGGCCTCGTGCGTTTGTCATGTACAGTTTTGATGGAGTCTTGCTGAATGGCAGGGCTCCATCACGGACGTGAGGTCGCGCCTGATTTTGTTGTGCAAGCCACCAGCAAAGGAACGCCTGTTGAATGACGGGCCTTCTCTTTGTGTCGGAGGCCACCCCCGTTTTGGCTTCAATCCCACCCCACGACAGCGGGGTGTTGGCGAAAGATGTCTAGAGCGGTGCATGTTTAAAACGGCGCTGTCACTCTTCCGCCAGTCTGGCGAGCTGTGCACACAGCGGATGATTCCAGGCCGGAATCTTGGGGGTGCTTGACGTTGCTTGGCAACTTCAGCCTTGCAGCCCTTTGCCACTTCACATCGAGCAGCGGAGTTCCGCTCAGACAGTCCAGGCCATGGCAATGCGTCGGTGCTGACTTTGGCCCTCCCGGCGGCGTTGGCCAGCCCTCTCTACCCGGCATGCTACACCACTTGCATGGCGACCTGTCTGTCGGCCGGGGCAGCAGCTGCTGGCGTTGTGCCGCCCGCAGGTTTGGCAGGCGCTGCCGCCTGCGCGTCGGGCTGCGCAGCCCTTTGTGCTCCTTCCTGCTTCGCCGACGACACCACACTGCAGCTGGCCGAGTTGCCCCGAGGCAGTTCGGCTGTGAAGATCGGAGAAGTGCAGACCGGGAAGAGGGTGTGGACTCTGCAGAACGGCCAGCCCATGCCAGCTCTAGTGGTGGAGAACCGTCGGCTGGAAGGCCACTTGGCAATGATGATGGCTTTGTGATGGCTGTTTTGTCTCTTCACCACCGATTGTTTGGTCTCAGGGTTGCAGGTGTTGCTGCGCTACCCCCCACGATTCTGAATGTTGCTTTGCCGAGGCAGCTTTGGCTTTGTGGAACTGGCGGTCGTCAGTGAGGGCATGGAAGTGAACATCACGATCACCGAGGATCACAACATGCCCCGGCTGAGGCGCCCGCATCCCTCCGCCAGCTTCTCTGAAGAAGACTTGGAAGTTGTGCTTGCCAAGGAGTTGATGTTGGGAGACATGATGGCCATCCACACGCCAGGCGGAGTGAGCCTGGGCGTCCTTGCTGGACTACACTTGGTGCAGAAGGGCGTCAAGCACGTCCTGTCCACTGCCACTGGCAGCGTGTTGGCCAACGGCGTGCTGAGCAGCACGATTTGCGACGGCCGTGAGAAGGTCTACAATCGCTCCAGCTGGTCCATGACGCTTCAGCAATGGTGGGCAATGCATGCCGAGCGCTTCGCGCTTTGAGTTTTGTCGCTGCGCGCGATCTTTTGTGTACAGACCACCTGCGCTCCTTCCTGAGCTGTGCTGCGCTCTACTTAGCCACGGCGCTTTGTGCATAGACTCGATGAATGTTGGGTCTGGCCACACACGGAGCAACTTTCCAAGCTCAGCCACGCTCCTGACAGCCTGTTGAATGACGGGCCACGAGCGGCCAAGAGCAGCCAAGAGCACTTCTGAGTCACATTCAAAACCGGGTAGATGAAGGTTAGTAGATACCATAAATGTGTGCAGCAGCCTTGTTAATTCTTTACATGGTTCTGGGTAGACTATTCAATACCAGGTTTTGATTATGCCCCACTTGGGGGATTAAAGCTGTCGACAGCCTTGCAGGGCCTTGCTGAATGGCGAGGGGGCGAGTCGCACGGCGCATGTCGCAAGGCGTGAAAAGCTTTTGCTTCTGACTCGAGGTGCGATCGTGCCCCTGAAGGTCGACTTTGCTGATGTTTGTTCATTAGCACGGCGCACAAAGCATATGAACGCATGCTTCTAACGTACGTTGGTTTTAAAGGGGAGCTTGTCTTGCATCGATGTCCCAGAAATGCCGACTGTGTCACAAGCCGTTTGGTTTGTTTCAGCCGACCTGGGTTGCAGCATTGGGCCTCCTGCCCCATGGCTCTGGCATTCCGCAACACCTTGGCCCTGGTGATGCTCTGGCTTCTGCCTCCCCAGTCCGTGGCTGGGCCCGGGTACTTGGCTTGCTACTACGGCTGCTTGGGGGTGTGCTTCACAGCTGGCGTGGCTGCGGCTGGGATTTGTCCTCCCGCAGGCCTGAGCGGCGCGGCTGCCTGCACAAGCGGCTGCGCGGCAGCGTGCACGCCAACGCTGCTTGCGTGCTTTTCTGAGGACACCCGCGTCCAGGTCCTCAACGGCAACCTGTCTACACTGGGTGCACTTGAGCCTGTAGCGCCGGGGCAAAGCTTTTTTTTTTTGGAGCTTCTAACTGCCCAGGTCAAGCCCTTGGCGTGAAGGTTACTGGAGAATCAAAGGTTGCAAGGCAACATCAGCTTCGTGAGCTGGAGGTCGTGAGTGGTGATCACGCTTCACCTGTCCATCACTGAGAGCCACACCAAGCCCGGCTGCGGCGCTCCGCCCCTGAGTTGCGGGAGGCACACTTGGAGGTGGCCACAGCGGAGGAGCTGCGGGTGGGCGACATCGTGGCCACCGGCGTCTCACGCCTGGGCTTCGGCGTCGTCTCGGAGCTGCGGCGCATGCAGAAGTCTGTGAAGCACGTGCTGACCACGGAGACCGGAAGCGTTGTGGCCAACAACATTCTGAGCAGTACCATTTGTGACGGCCGCGACGACATCTACAACCGCTCCAGCTGGCTTGTGACGCTGAACCAGTGGCAGGCGTTGCATGAGGAGCGCCTCAAGCAGATGTAGGTCAGTTCCGCTGTCGCCTTTTTGGCGCGTCGCTTGGCAGAGGGCCTCGCGCGTTTGTCATGTACAGTTTTGATGGGAGTCTTGCTGAATGGCAGGGCTCCATCACGGACGTGAGGTCGCGCCTGATTTTGTTGTGCAAGCCACCAGCAAAGGAACGCCTGTTGAATGACGGGCCTTCTCTTTGTGTTGGAGGCGTTTTGGCTTCAATCTCCACCCCTCGACAGCGGGTGTTGGCGAAAGATGTCTAGAAGCGTGGCTGTTTAAAACGGCGGCTGTCAACTCTTCCGCAGTCTGGCGAGCTGTCAACTCTTCCGCAGTCTGGCGAGCTGTGCTCAGCAGCGGATGATTCAGGCCGGAATCTTGGGTGCTTGACGTTGCTTGGCATCTTCAGCACTTGCAGCCCCTTTGCCTCTTCACAGCGCGTGGCGGAGTGCCGCTCAGACAGCCAGGCCCCATGGCGCTGCGTGCGGTGCTGACTTTGGCCCTCCCGGCGGCGTTGGCCGGCCCTCTCTACCCGGCATGCTACACCACTTGCATGGCGACCTGTCTGTCGGCCGGGGCAGCAGCTGCTGGCGTTGTGCCGCCCGCAGGTTTGGCAGGCGCTGCCGCCTGCGCGTCGGGCTGCGCCGCCCTTTGTGCTCCTTCCTGCTTCGCCGACGACACCACACTGCAGCTGGCCGAGTTGCCCCGAGGCAGTTCGGCTGTGAAGATCGGAGAAGTGCAGACCGGGAAGAGGGTGTGGACTCTGCAGAACGGCCAGCCATGCCAGCTCTAGTGGTGGAGAACCGTCGGCTGGAAGGCCACTTGGCAATGATGTTGGCTTTGTGATGGCTGTTTTGTCTCTTCACCACCGATTGTTTGGTCTCAGGGTTTGCTTGCAGGTGTTGCTGCGCTACCCTCCACGATTCTGAATGTTGCTTTGCCAAGGCAGCTTTGGCTTTGTGGAACTGGCGGTCGTCAGTGAGGGCATGGAAGTGAACATCACGATCACCGAGGATCACAACATGCCCCGGCTGAGGCGCCCGCATCCCTCCTCCAGCTTCTCTGAAGAAGACTTGGAAGTTGTGCTTGCCAAGGAGTTGATGTTGGGAGACATGATGGCCATCCACACCCAGGCGAGTGAGCCTGGGCGTCCTTGCTGGACTACGCTTGGTGCAGAAGGGCGTCAAGCACGTCCTGTCCACTGCCACTGGCAGCGTGTTGGCCAACGGCGTGCTGAGCAGCACGATTTGCGACGGCCGTGAGAAGGTCTACAATCGCTCCAGCTGGTCCATGACGCTTCAGCAATGGTGGGCAATGCATGCTGAGCGCTTCGCGCTTTGAGTTTTGTCGCTGCGCGCGATCTTTTGTGTACAGACCACCTGCGCTCCTTCCTGAGCTGTGCTGCGCTCTACTTAGCCACGGCGCTTTGTGCATAGACTCGATGAATGTTGGGTCTGGCCACACTCGGAGCAACTTTCCAAGCTCAGCCACGCTCCTGACAGCCTGTTGAATGACGGGCCACGAGCGGCCAAGAGCAGCCAAGAGCACTTCTGAGTCACATTCAAAACCGGGTAGATGAAGGTTAGTAGATACCATAAATGTGTGCAGCCGCCTTGTTAATTCTTTACATTGTTCTGGGTAGACTATTTAATACCAGGTTTTGATTATGCCCCACTTGGGGGATTAAAGCTGTCGACAGCCTTGCAGGGCCTTGCTGAATGGCGAGGCGGAGTCGCACCGCGGATGTCGCAAGGCGTGAAAAGCTTTTGCTTCTGACTCGAGGTGCGATCGTACCCCTGAAGGTCGACTTTGCTCATGTTTGTTCATAGCACGGCGCACAAAGCATATGAACGCATGCTTCTAACGTACGTTGGTTTTGGGGAGCTTGTCTTGCATCGACGTCCCAGAAATGCCGACTGTGTCACAAGCCGTTTGGTTTGTTTCAGCTGACCTGGGCAGCATTGGGCCTCCTGCCCCATGGCTCTGGCATTCCGCAACACCTTGGCCCTGGTGATGATCTGGCTTCTGCCTCCCCAGTCCATGGCTGGGCCCGGGTACTTGGCTTGCTACTACGGCTGCTTGGGGGTGTGCTTCACAGCTGGCGTGGCTGCGGCTGGGATTTGTCCTCCCGCAGGCCTGAGCGGAGCGGCTGCCTGCACAAGCGGCTGCGCGGCAGCGTGCACGCCAACGCTGCTTGCGTGCTTTTCTGAGGACACCCGCGTCCAGGTCCTCAACGGCACAGGTGTGGCTGTGGTGCCCTTGAGCGCTGTAGCGCCGGGGCAAAGGCTTTGGAGCTTCTACCAGGGCAAGCCCTTGGCGGTGAAGGTTCTGGAGAAGTGGTGATCAACGTTTCAGCCTGGCCATCACGGAGAGCCACAACATGTCCCGGCTGCGGCGCTCCGCCCCTGAGTTGCGGGAGGCACACTTGGAGGTGGCCACAGCGGAGATCGTGGCCACCGGCGTCTCGCGCCTGGGCTTCGGCGTCGTCTCGGAGCTGCGGCGCATGCAGAAGTCTGTGAAGCACGTGCTGACCACGGAGACCGGAAGCGTCGTGGCCAACAACATTCTGAGCAGCACCATTTGTGACGGCCGCGACGACATCAACAACCGCTCCAGCTGGCTTGTGACACTGAACCAGTGGCAGGTGTTGCATGAGAAGCGCCTCAAGCAGATGTAGGTCAGTTCCGCTGTCGCCTTTATGGCGCGTCGCTTGGCAGAGGGCCTCGCGCGTTTGTCATGTACAGCTTTGCTGGAGTCTTGCTGAATGGTAGGGCTCCATCACGGACGCGAGGTCGCGCCTGATTTTGTCTTGCAAGCCACCAGCAAAGGAACGCCTGTTGAATGACGGGCCTTTCTCTGTGTTGTTGTTGGAGGCTTGCGTTTTCAAACTCCAACCCTGGGACTTTCCTGTCCCATCTGCTTGAAGAAAAGCTCGGCATGTGGGCGTACTGTTGTCCGCGGGTCAGCCTTGGGGCATATTGATCAGAACTACTGAGAGAATCACGGCAACCCACAGCGCATTTATGCACGTTCCCAGCGATGCTTTTAGAGCCTTTGCCGGAGCAACATAGATGAACGCTATGGTGGCTTCCTCGTATTGGTTATTGCATGTCTTTCCTTGTACGTTCAACTGCCACACTGCATCCATTTTACATCTGGGTGGTTTGTGTGATTCCTACGCATCAAATGTCGACCATGTAGAGTATGATGTTCCTTAACAACTCTTTGAATGTGATCCAACATACACCCCACAATGACAACTATGAACAAGCCAGTGTGCCACCATCAACCATTCATGTTCCGGTTTGGCATGCCGGTGAAGGCCCAAGTATTTCTTGATACCACGCAAGTTGACAGCTCTTGTCAATGTTCCGTTGCCATACTTCATGTAGTACACGCTGCAGATACCTATTGGATCAAGAAGCTTGTTCGCAGAGGCAATTCGCAGGGGATGGTGATGGCAATGCGGTCGAGGTTGGGTCTCTTAGTGGCAAGCATGTACTTGCTTGCAATGCCATTGTTCTGGAGTTGCCAAGCAGGGCAGTTACTTGTCGAGGTGTGAATCACACATTCCAGATCATGTGCGCTTCGGACGAATCTGAAAGACCATGCTAATGGGCATGAATGGCCATGAAAGCTTGTGCAGCCCTCATCACTGTGACGAAGTCGCCACAAGGGCAAACATGTACAATGACCATCGAATCTAATGCTCACATGAATCACACATTCCAGATAATGTGCGCTTCAGACGAATCCGGAAGACCACACCAATAAGGATGAATGCCCATGAAAGCTTGTTCAATCCCCAGCATGGTATTTTCCACAAGAATGATTGTATACATTGAGTATTCAATACAGTGCTCATAACATTTGGGATCAACACACGGCGGCGGTTCGTGCCTTGTAACTTGCATTCGGAAGGCACAATTGACTCGCAGGCGTGGCTCGAGCTTGCTTGGCGGGCTGCTGGCCGTGTTGGGAAGCCTGTGGCTGTGGACAATTGCCTCAGGCTGGTTTCTGGGAATGCCCGGGTTGAGTTGGATTCCGTGTAACAATGTTGTTTCAACGGGCTTGCGCCATTTTTTTTAATTTAAATGTAACTTGTGTACTTTACCAGCATTTTTGCGGCAAAGCTGCTCTTGGCTCGGGGGCGGGGGCTGCCTGTTTGGCATTGCAACGGCAGCTTGAGCTGAGCTGTCGTTCGAAGCGCGGCAAAAACCTCCCTTTGACCCAACATTAGGCTTGCCACCAAGACACCGTGTTTGACTGTCACAGCTTTTGCTTGCAGAAGGCTCAGCCACATATATCACGTGCCGCGCGAACCCTGGAGGTTTGTCCTACCAGGCTCCGCCGGGAGGCGGCCTGACCAGGCGAGGGCCTGAGCCGCGCTTGGCTCAATGTGTTTGTGCGGCCTGAGGAAGCAGAGGCATGGATTGATCAAGAACAAGGACAAACTCGAAGGCGTGTACGAAGTCCCAGGCTTAGGTGGAGATAGCAGAACTCTTGGTTTGCCTTCAACCTTCAGGTCCCCTTGGAGGAGGACGGCATTTTTTGAACGCGATTCGCTGAGTCGGCCGTGTCTTCGCTAGGGTCGGAGTCACACGTCAGCTATTCTCGAGGATGTTTTTTTTTGGATCTGCATTCGGAATGAACACAATGAGTCTATGGCGAACTTTGGCTAGGTGAGAAGGCTTGTTTGGAGTTCATGCATACTTTGTTGACCTCCGTGTCAAATCAGACGCTGGGTGTAAGGACGCATGTTAATTTGGCCAGCATCGTTGATTGGAGACAACACACACACACACACCGAGCATGAAATGCCGCGTTATAAAATAGGGGACCCCACAAAACGTGTGCTTTCCGACACACACCGAATGTGGGGTCATACAAAAGGGGACCCCACAAGATGTGTGCTTTCCGTTTGCAGTGCCTTGTAAGCAAAACTCGGGGACCCTCCAGAGGGACCTTCGACAGGAAGAGGAGGAGGAGCCCGAGAAGCCCGAGATGCCCGAGAGACGTGTTCCATACTGCCCCTTGGACTCACGTCGCTGGGGGTTCCCTTGCCCATTTGGGGAATGCAGCAATTTGCCAGGAAAAAACACCCTCCAACATGAATCAGATGGCTATCTCGAAAGAACCTCAAACATGGTTGATGGACAAGAGTCGGCTTTGTAAATGATGCCTGCCAAAGGGCAGCCAGATGCACAAAAATCTCTCAGCCATGCACATCGTGACCCAGCTCCCGGCGCACAAGCACCTTCATGAGGAGAGCAATGCGAGGCGCTGTGGGACTGTCGGTCCATCGTGGGAGTCGTCGTCCCTGCGGATGCTGGGGGTTTTTGGTGTCTTGAACTCGTGTCAGATGGTGTCAGCAGCGTAGCAGGACATGCCAAGCTGTATGTCTGGCATGCCGCAGCGCGGGATCAGTGCAAAGAGCAGTAGATTTTGTTGCCCTTCGGGCAATCTGAGTGACTGGCCACGGAGGAGCCGCGGTGTCTCACACTCGGACATTCAAAGTTCTTGTTTGATGATTAGGCAACATCCTTCCCGTGACGACGTGGTGTGATCAGAGCTCCTATTTTGCTGAACAGAAGTCCCAGAAGTTTGTTGGCTGACATGGTTTGAAGCCATCCTCGTGCATGTTTGGGGGACCCCTGTGCCATGTGCGAGGAGTCTATGCTCACCATTTCCATCCACGAATCCCTTGCCGGGAACCCGGACGGGTGGTCGGACCAGGCCTCAGAGTGTAATTTCGTGGCAATGCCACAGTCTTAGACATGGTGCTAGACCACCAAGCCTTCGGCAATTGCCGGTCTTGCCCCTCCAAGGAATGGAACGACACGGGCAACATGTACATGACGGGGCTTGATGGCCTCAGCGAGCAGCCATGTCACAAGTGGGAGCGGGAGCATGACCGAGAGAACTTGCCATGGCAGGTGCCGCAAAAGACGCCCGTCCGCCAGGCGCCGCCTTTGTCCTCCTGGGCGTCACCACTTCGTGTGCCCCTCCCTGCGCCAGTGAATGAAGAGCCCTTTTCTGACACCTTGGACCTGCCCCCCCACCTCTCCAGCATCGTGGATCAGTTTTCCGACCTTGATCCCGCGTGGCCAGAGGAGAAGCCGATCGAGTTTTTTCAGCCGCCACCCGGGCTGACTGCGCTAGCAGCCGAGCAACCGCTCGCAGGCCTGGAAGCCAAAGAGGTGGCAATGGAGGAGGTGGAGCTGGCGCCGGGGATCAAGATCTTTAGCAAGCGTGGCACTTGCCGCGTGGAGTGGCGCATCGACGATCTGAACGGGAAGCTCCAGGCCAGCATGGCTCGGCCGCTGGTGTCGCCGCCCTTCGCAGCCCAGGGCCTGCCGAATCTGCGGCTCATGGTCTTCCCAGACGGCCGCGAGGTCATGAAGAACGCTCGGAGCAGCGAGCGCAAGGGGCTCTACACGCACATGATCAAGAAGGGGCCTTTGAATGGTGCCCTGAAGCTGAAGGCGGACTGCCTTCAGTGCGCCACGGTAATGACCGTAAACCTCATTGTGGGTCAAGTTTGCATGGGGCCTTTGGTCTACGACTTCTCCGAGCAGGCCATTCATGGATTGGATGACTTTGGCATTGATTGGTTGAAGCAGGTGGACAAGGTCAACGGGAGCCTCACCGTGGGGATTGAGATTCTTGATGTCCGGCCACAGCATTGATCCTGCAGCTTGTACATATATTGGCTGGCCCGGAGCTCGGCGCCGATTTTGACGCAGTCACACATGTACACATCGCGTCGCGCGCTGGGCTCGGCATCACGCGTCCGGCGGTGAACTCCGGAACGCGGCATCAAGACGCCAGCTCGCACAATTCGAACTGTTGCGCCGCACCATCATTGTTGGAAGCACTGGTGTTGGTGCGTCCATTTCAGTTTATGCACCTGCCTGAAAGGCAACCTAACTACCGGCCCCTGGGAGTCATTCGTTCGCATGTTAATCATTCAGGAGACATTCAGGGCGCAAGGGCCGGCTGGGCGCTTCATGAACAGTGAAGTGAGGCTTAGACCCCTTTTTTCAATCCAGGTTTGTCATTTTGAGCTTCCTTTTGTTTTTAGCTTTTTAGCTATTTTCTGCTATTGTCTGGTTGCTGTTCGCCAAGCCGGCCGTTTATCAATTGCAAGATGACGGGATAAACAACACAAGCAGTGGACATGGGCCACTCAGTACATATTTGCTGACAAGACCTTGCACATTTGTGGATAGAAAAGAGCTCGGGAGGTTGTGTCTTTCTGGAGCGAGAGATGCTGAAGACAAAAAGAAAGTCTGGCCATCCTGCCAACCCCCTGAAAGGCAGTACATTGAAGAAAAGCTCGTCCTGTCGCTGGAGAACTTTGAAGACTTTATCAGGAGCGGCTCAATGTTTGCATTTCCCTTGCCAAGCCACAGCTTCCCAGGGTTCCATTCTTTGACTACTCCAAGGTAGACTTCAGCCCATGGGTTTCGCTTTTGGGGCAATCAGCCAGCCCTGGGTTTGAGTCGACTTTGGGGTAGTCAAGAAAAGGGACCCTGCAGCTTTCTGATTGATTTTAGTTCTAAGCCCTGAGGCATGTTGAGGTCCTTGCCTTACCGCCCGAGTCGCATGAGTGAGTGTGTCTCCTGTTTGAGCTCAGGTGCATCTGCAGAAATCCGACAACTTCCACCGTGAGAAGCATGGGCCTTATGAGCACCGAGCTCTCCTTTCTGAGGCTCGGAGTTCGGTGCATGATATTTGCCATATGCAACTGGCCATGGGTCAAAACCCAAATCGTACCCCCAGTGAACATCAACCAATCCCCGCTAAAATAGACCAAAATGGGTGGTACACCTAACCCAAAATGGTAGCCATTGGTTTTGAACCAACTATCAAGATTAAAGATTTCTTTGGCACGGGCTGCCCATGTTTCTGATTTTCTGATGCGATACTACTGCTTCTTAAGGTTGGGCATGCCCTTTCACTTGTGTCTCCCAGCTAGCTTCCGCAAGCTTTCAAGCTTTGTTGAGATTGGTCAACATTTGCGGGCATCAGCTGTGCATTTGCTAGTGGTTTGAAAAGGAGGCGGTGTTCTCCCACAGGACTCGGCAACAGAATCTCTAGGTGGTACTGTAAGTAGCATGACGTTGCTCATCGGCCTTGCTTTAAGTGCATGTTGCCTTTGGCCCAAAGTCATGTCCAATGTGTGATATTAGCAGTATGACACTGAACCAAGTCGCTATGTCACTCAGGCACAAGCTTTTGGGACAACGACAAATATGAGCATGCGCTTGCATTTCCAGCGTTCGGGTCGTGTGCTAGCTGAGGCGACCAGAGAAGAAGAAGGCAGACATGCCCGCAGTGGTGGAGGCAGATGGGTTGAAGTTGCCAGATGAGCCACAATCAAAACCCGGGCAGATGAAGGTTGGTAAGGGACGATCCCGACCAGAAGTAGCTGCGGCCGCCTTCTTGATTCTTGAAGCATGGTTCTGGGTCAACCATTTTAACCCCGGGTTTTGATTGTGACTCGGCCGCTGCGGGATGCTGTGTCATTTGCCAGGAAGAATCGCTGGAGGCGCTGGATGGACCCCAGACCGAGTCCATTCCAGGCCACAAGATGCCAGCGACCTAGACTGGCTTCGCAGTGAAGACGTGGCACCTGCCATTTTTGCAAGAGTCTTTGCTTTTTTTGGTTTGGCTTCACAGGATAGGCGAAAAATGCTGTGAAGCGTTGAGTCGAGGTTGACGCCATACATGTTCAAGGCCACCGAGCCTTGGCTGCCAAATGGGCTCCCAGACAAAACGCCCTGCAGACATTTTTGGCTGTCTCCAGCTTTCCGTGTTGGGGGGAGCAGCCAAGGTCACTCTGGCCAACCACCACAAGATCACTCTGTCCAATCCAGAGAAGCACGCGGGCTGCTGAGGGAAGCTTGTTTGACTCGGTTTGCGCTGTATGCCAACGGGCTGATTTGCCTGGTAGAGCCAGCAACGAGTGCAGAGAAAAGAGTGCGCAGGCGTTGGCTTTTTCTCTGCCTTCACTGTTCAGTGGTGCCAAGGCTCAGGCGACTCTGACGGAAGCAACCGACCACATGGTGGACGTGCTGAAAAAGTTTTGACCTCGGTGTGGAAAGTCGCACATTGACACATTCTTTGTTGCTCAAGCTTGTTGCTCAATCTTGCGATCACAGGTTACTCCGGGAGGAGAAGCAAAGAATGCTCCAAGTCAACAGGAAAATGCGGCAAGTCCTTGCGAAGCGGCTTCAGTGGTTTGGCTTTTTGGTGGCAGCAACAATGGTCATGAGGGAACCCATTAAGATGGGCCGGTTTACTTTGGTTTTCCCTTAACACAACCCAGAAAGTGTATCCTCAAAAATGGGCATGCTGCGGCCCCACTTTGCGCAGATGCCAGGAGAAAGGCAGCGAACGTGCTGCCAGATCCTTGTCTGCAGCTCATTAATCAGTCAGTACTAGTTGGCTCTTCTTGGAAAAATTGGTGGGCACGTCCCGGCACATCGGATGAGGCGAGTCGGGTCCGGCCATTTCGATAATTGTTCGTCTTGGAATATGCGGATTGTGACTCTTGAAGACCCAGCCAGGACGATGATGGGGGGATTGACATCGATCAGTACAACAAGGATCTGGTCGAGGCAACGGTTCCATCCCTTTTTGCTGACACGCTGACGAAGCCCTTCTTGCAGTTTGCACACAGGCAACTATTTAAAGTGTGTCAACTACGCTTGCAGTACTTTGAACCCGTGCAGCTTTTCTGGAAGCCTGAAAGGATTACTCCAGTGTTGCAGAACTATACTGGGACGCCAAATTCCGTCAGGTTTAGAGGACTCTTCTTTTGGCGGACTTCTCCATGTTAAGTTCGAAGGGAGCATGGGAGCAGACGTTTTTGGTTGTTTTTGTCACTGCAGGCCAAAGTCAGAGAGGAAGAAGAAGCTGAGGAAGCCATGCCAGTGCCTAAGGCACTAGTTGCCTTTCAACCGATGCAGCTAACTCAAGGTTCTGGTTCCAGAAACCAGGGGACTGGCAGAAGTTTCCATGTCCTTCAAACACGTAATGACTGTGTCTCATGTCTCCGTGAGCAAGGTATCAGCGCATCGAGTCCTCTGACAAGTGAAAGGCGCGTCTGAGTTCCATCTTTTTGGCCGGGTCGTCATTGCAGCGCCCGCCTATCTCCGAGCCTTTGACATGTTGCTTCAGGGCTGCTCCTTGGTTTCGACACGTCTCGGGTCTCTTTGCAGGTCCCTTGAACCTGCAACGTGGCGAAGGCGCTGGTGTCGTTGGCCTAGCCTCGAAAGTTGGCCTTGAGGGAGTGGTTGGATTGTCCGCTCTACCTGGGCGCACTAAGATTAAGGCCCCATATACAAGTCCGTCCGATGCCTTTGCCTCCAAACTCTACACTCAGTCAGTTTGGGAAGTCTTGTCCGTGCAGCCCTTGCAAGCAACCGTGTCGCGGGATGTTGGACTTGGATTCCTACGGCCGAGCAGCTTGAGGCGCCTGCGCTCGGCAGCTTGGGGCCGGGGAATCGTTTTCCACACAGGTCGCGGCTGGCTCGAAAGCCGTTCCAGGAAGCAGGCTGTGTGGTGCGGTCTGCCCAACGTTTGAAACTTCCGTGCAAACATAGAGAATGACTTCAGCGGTCGAAGTCATTCAGGAAGCTCGTTTCCAACGCATGCAACAAGTCATGCTTGCTCTCCGTCAGAGCAACATCATCCTTTTATAATATGGAGTTGCCGGGCCCGCAGTGATTACTCGGAGAAGCATTACGGGATTCAAGCAAGACGAAGTGTCAGGGGACAAGGCAACTAGTGCTGAGAGTTGTCGTCAGAGCGACATTTGTGGCGCTCTGACTTGGAAGCCTTTTGCCTCTTAGTTGCTGCGTCTACATCGAACTATGCTTTTGTGTCTGCAGCGACTTTCAGGCAATTTGCTTCTCTCTCGGCAGTGCACTCTGCTTCATTTGGAGCTGGGTGACGGGCTCATGTCTTCCATGCCCGTCTACCTCTTGCCGAACATCCAAACATTGTGGGTTTCCATGACACAGTTTCTACGAAGTTTGGATGCGGCAGCTTGGGAAGCTATCGGCAATGAGCGCGCAATGTACAGGAACAGAGGAACAAAACAGCGCCCTGTGTTTTGGTAGGAATGGCACAGTACAGCATCATGGCAACTCTCGGCTTTTGGCTGGACAGTTGTAGAAGTGGTCCAGCTACTGGATCTCAATTGAGCAACGAGGCAAGAGATAGATGCACCCACCCTAGCTCCTTCAGCCTGCGGAAACAAATGCTTGCTTCTTGGCGTGAGTCGATTCTTCATCCCCCCAACATTCCTTCCACATTCTGTCTATTCCCACGTGATCAACAGAAACGAGCCACCGGCCAATCTTGTGCAATTCGCTCATATCGCCCGGT